CTGAAGTGCATCACTTCAGTCATGGCTTCCTTGCCATGAAAAAAACACCCCTACTGACTTTGTAGGACTGTTTTTGGGTACATATTTTTTTTAACTTATGGCGAATAGGCATTTGAAGTAGACAGGGGTATTTCCAGTGAGGCACACAGGCACACACAATATAGATAGCAACATCAATAGCACTTACATTTATATATCACTTCACAGTGCTTTACAGCCCTCTCTAAGCTGTTTACAGAGTCAGCATATTGCCCCCAACAATCTGGGTCCTCATTTTACCCACCTCGGAAGGATGGAAGGCTGAGACAACCTTGAGCCAGTCAGAATCGAACTCCTGGAGTGAACAGTGAGTTAGCCTGCAGTACTGCATTCTAACCACTGCGCCACCATGGCTGTATATATTGTGTGAACTGGTGTTTCAGAATAATTAGCGAATGGTAAACTGTAACTGAACAATTTCAGATACACTGTATCAATATCTTATCTCCCAAGCTACAGATCAATTGGCTGAAAGGTTTTGTTCAAAATCTCAGGAATACTTTTAAAATTATGCCTGGGGAAAATATACTGAATCAAAAAAAAAATTCTATTTTGCATATTGCAACACAATATACAAATCAAGTAACAATGATCCTATGATCCAGATTGAATCTTATATATTCAAGACTGGGTTTTCTCAAGCTTAATTTCGAGAAGTAATCAGAGCAGACAACCAAAACAGACTATTTTGTCATGTTGAAACATGACACAAAACAACTGAAGAACAAAGAGATAGAGAAAGAACTTGCAACATGGCAGGAGATTCCTGAACATGGAGTATCTATTAACACTTGTATCTTACAGCCAGTAATTGCTCGTTACCAGTACCATAACAGATATCCCATTTGTATTTGGAAGCTCTTATAGCCATAGGAACTGCACCTTGATAAGAAGTGTTGTGTTTTAGTGGCAATCCCCTTAAAGACACCAGTTGGATTTTCAAACTAAATGACTGTAAAAATAACAAAAACAATAATTTTCAAATTCATCCAAATATATCAGGATGATAGGCAAAGGAAGAGGAGAAATGAAAACCCCACCTGATTCCCTGATTAACAGGGAAGTTAGGGTTATTTAATCACATGTGATTTGGGTGCATTCTCCAGTCTTCTTACTCTGCCACTCTTCTTACCACGTCTTCCCATATTACAACCGGCCCCATTTCTCAGTAAAAGGTAAAGGTTTCCCCTTTCAAGTCATGTGTGACTCAAAGGGGCAGTGCTCACCTCTGTTTCTTAGCCGAGGATACCAGCATAGTCCAAAGACATTTTGGATGTAGTCATATAGCCAGCATGACTATACGCTGAGGCACACTGTTACCTTCTCACTAAAGTTGTGCCTATTTATCTATTCACATTTGCATCAGGGGTGGGTTCTACTTATCTTTACTACCGGTTCGCAATGGGGTCGTGTGCGTGCGCTCAGTTTGCTCTCTTACTCTCGCGCTCTTCTGCAGAAGCACATGCGCAAAAGCATTCTGATGACGTTGGGGTCGGTGGGCGGAGCCTCTCGCTGGTTTTACTACCGGTTCTATAGAACCGGTGCGAATTGGGGGCAACCCACACTGATTTGCATGCTTTTGACCTGCTAAGTGGGCAGAAGCTACGGCCAGTAACGAGAGCTCACCCTGTTGCGTGGCACTCGGTCCTCAAACCTGGGCTGAGCCATTACACCCCTTCTTTCCCAGTATCCTCCCACTATTATTATCACAAATATTGCTACCAACCTGCCACCCCAATCTACAACTGAATGCTTTGCAAAACATACAAAATGGTATGTTTTATTCAATTTAGCATTGAATGGCACAGATGAGATTTAACTTAGAAAAAAACTTAACTACTACTCATACAAAAACTAAGTGGCTAGATAATACTCCTGAGTTTGAATTATCTTCAAGGGCAAGCCATATACGATACATGATAGGAAGCCAAATCAAAATACCAGTGCAGAGAATAGTCTTTAGAATAGGTATAGATGATTACAACCAAAACCAGCAGAACAAGGAGGGGAGAGGGTCTCTTAGCCACTGAGAACTATTAAGCATTAATCCTGTCTAACCTCAAACCTGCATTTATCCCAGAAATAGAATTCAATCTGGAAGAGATTCTACATAGGGATCATCACTGTGTGAGGCCCAGAGGTGGGTTTCAGCAGGTTCTGACCAGTTCTGGAGAACCAGTAGCAGAAATTTTGAATAGTTCGGAGAACCGATAGTAAAAATTCTGACTGGCCCCGCCCCCATCTATTCTCTGCCTCCTGAGTTCCAGCTGATCGGGAAGAAATGGGGATTTTGCAGCAACCTTCCCCTGCCATGCCCACCAAACCAAACCCACTAAGCCATGTCATGCCCATCAAGCCACACCCACAGAACCGGTAGTAAAAATTTTTGAAACCCACCACTGGTGAGGCCTCAACTTTTCACAATAAAAGTTGCACATTTTATTAACAGTAATTACAATAAAATTAACTTCACAGTAAAGGAACTAGCAATATGGAGAACCTAAATCCTTCGATATATTTTAGGATGACAGATACGGTAAGACAAATAGTATACAGAATTATACTATTAATTTTCTTAGCGACATTTTTGAAACAGATAAAATCAAATGCCAGTACGAGAAATGACCAGATTAATCCACTGCTCCAATAAAAATGTCTAATATTTTATAAAACTATTAAGCCAAACCTCCTTTGGAAATATAAATGATTTTTGAAGGGTTATAGTTTAAGAAAAGAAACACTGCTAAGACTATGACTTTTTAGCTACAGTAGATAAAAAAAAAACTCTTTCTAGAAGTTTTAAATTTTTTTTTTCATTTTTATCAGATCTTCAATCACATTGTTATTCAGACATGATTAAGCCCTTTACAAACACAAAGAAAATTAAAAGGTAATATAAAAGAAGGTTTAAAACTATGAAACAATAATGATTTTTTTTTTAAAGAACATTTCAGAAAGAAATGGATGCATGTTGAAAAAACTAATTGTTCCCTAGTACATTTATTCTTTGGAAAATAAATTGCCCAGGAATTCAATCAAAACACTTCTGGGTTCACTGACAGTTGTTATAATATTTACATGTGTATTTTAAAGTACTAAACTTCAGCTAAACTTTACTTTCTGATAATATACTGCAGTTCATTTTGACTAGCCCTAAGCATGTTATTGACTTTGAAAACATCTATCCAGAGGTGAAATCCAGCAGGTTCTGACAGGTTCTGGAGAACCAGTAGCGGAAATTTTGAGAGTTCAGAGAACCAGCAAATACCACCTCTGGCTGGCCCCAGAGTGGGGTGTGAATGGAGATTTTGTAGTATCCTTCTCCTGCCATGCCCACCAAGCCTCACACACAGAACCGGTAGTAAAAAAAATTGAATTTCACCACTGCATCTATCATGTGGTGCATGTCCATTCTAGGGCAAATTGAGACCTGTAACATACTTAGATAGATCTCAAGCTGGACAAGTGATTAGCTTAGTTGGTCTTGGATTCTTATAGCTAATGAATTTTTCCATTCAGAATGATATCAGTGCAAGTAGTCCTTGACTTACTATCATTTGTTTAGTGATTATTTGAAGCTATAGTAGCACTGAAAAAAATGACGTATGACTGATTTTCACACTTACCATCACAGCATTCCCCTGGTTTCATAATCCAGATTTGAACCCTTGGCAACTGGCTATATATTTATGAAACTTGCAATGTCCCAGGGTCAGCTTTTGTGACCTTCTGATAAGCAAAGTCAATAGGGAAGCCAGATTCACTTAAGAGCCATGTTACTCATTTAACAATTGTAGTTGTTCACTTAACAACTGTGGTAAGAAAGGTCATAAAATGAGGAAAAATTCACTCAACAACCCTCTTGCTTAGCAATGGAAATTTGGGGTTCAAGTCAGGGATGGTATTCACTTACCTTCGCTACCGGTCCACAAATGTGAGCACGCTCGCGCATGACACCTCTGCGGATGCGCAGAGCATCAAAAACAGGACATGATGACGTCTGGGCAGGTGGGCGGAGCCTCCCGCAGCCACTGTACCAGTTTGCCCAAACCGGATAGAACCGGCTGAATACCACCACTGGTTCAAGTGTGGTTTTAAATCGAGGATTATCTGTATAAATTAATGATCCTCCCTTGGTCTCTTGAAAGACTACAGTTCCATGAGTAAATAATAGTTTCATGAGGATAACAGTTGCAACTGCAGATGATTCCATTAAATACAATTGAGACAGGGGTGGGTTCTACTTACTGCTGTAAGTTACTTAGTTCTACTTACTACTGGTTCGCAATGGGGGCGCGTGCGTGCTCTGATGATGTCAGGGTCCATGGGCGGAGCTTCCCGCCGGTTTTACTACCGGTTCTATTAAACCGGTGCGAACTGGGGGCAACCCACCATTGAATTGAGAGAGTATGAGAAGAGTCCTCCATTCCTCTACCCGCAATAAAATGCCTTATGCCACCAGACTTGAAATTTTGGACTTAAACAACTTAGAACTACTCCGACTTTGGTCTGACCTAAGTGTAGTACATAAAATTATCTACCACAATGTCCTACCTGTCAATGACTGCTTCAACTTCAACCGCAACAATACATAAGCAAATAATAGATATAAACTCAAGGTAAACCGCTCCAAACTCGATTGCAGAAAATTGACTTCAGTAATAGAGTGGTCAATGCCTGGAATGCGCTACCTGACTCTATGGTTTCTTCCCCAAGCCCCCCAAATTTTAATCTTAGACTGTCTACTGTTGACCTCACCCCATTCCTAAGTGGTCTGTAAGGGGTGTGCATAAGTGGACCAGTGTGCCTACCATCCCTGTCCTAATATTCCTTTTACTCTTACTCTTTTCATGTATTCAAATTATGTTTATACCTCTACCTGTTATCTTATATATGCTTGACAAATAAAAAAAAAATAATAAAATAAAATAAATTTGTTTAATAATGAGATTGGTTGTTACCAGACTGGTATACATATGAAGAAAGGTGACTGCCGGGATGGTAGTTTGTGGGGAGCTTCATGGGATTCAGCTGATTGGATAAAAGTATGTGATTCAGTTTCTTCTCCAGAGACAGATAGTTCTCTGATAACTTTGATATCTAGGTGAGAAACACACACAAACATATATATATAACCAAACAATACACCCAAAGGCAAATCAAATGGGCATTGGTCTTACCTTAAATGCCAGATTTCTTGAGGGGGGTGACATTGTCCAGATGAGGGTTATATCAGTCGGATCTGATGCTGGCTGAGTCATAACTTTTGACCACTCCCCTTGCTCCGCCCCTTTCATGCTCAGTTTTGACGAAGGAAGGCCACCAGAAGTATCTCCAACAGGAACCACCGTTATCAGGAGGAAGTAATTCGGTCCAACGGGACAACTGGAAAAAAACTACTGAACAAGAACAATAAACTGTACAGGCACTGAGACAGAGGGAGGGGCTGGACAATGTCACCCCCCTCAAGAAATCTGGCATTTAAGGTAAGACCAATGCCCAATTTCCTTGATGAGGGTGTGACATTGTCCAGATGAGGGACATACCAAAGATTTGGCTGTCTCAAGGGCGGGATGTCGAAGGGCCTGGAGAGACCCTCGCACGATGCACCTGCTGCAAAACCCTCCTGCCAAATGACGCTTCAGCAGAAGCAAAGGTATCTATCTTGTAATGACGAATAAATGGCGAGGGGGTAGACCAGGTGGCTGCCCTACATACCTCCTCAAGGGAGGCCTGAGTTGCCCAAGCTGCTGAGGTAGCAGCACTCCTAGTGGAGTGGGCAGTAATGCTATTGGGAACAGGAATCGCCTGGGCCTGATATGCCGAGGCGATGCAAGCCCTGATCCATCTACCAATTGTGGCAGAAGAGACTTTGAGCCCTAGGGAGCCTGGCAAAAAGGAAACAAACAAAGCCTCTGACTTCCTGAAGGGAGCAGTCCTTTTGATATAAATCTTTAGGGCCCTCCGTACATCTAAGGTATGCCACCTTCGTTCCAAGGCATGAGAGGGCCGGGAACAGAAATTGGGCAAAATAACCTCTTGGGCCCTGTGAAAGGGGGAATTAACCTTGGGAATAAAGGAAGGGTCCAATCTCAAAATAACTGTGTCCGGCCGGAAAACACAGAGATCCTCCCTAACTGAGAGGGCTGCCAGCTCCGAAATGCGACGGGCTGAAGTTATGGCTATAAGGAAAACCACCTTAAGGGTGAGAAAGCGAAGGTGAACCGTGCGGAGGGGTTCAAAGGGAGTCTCAGTTAAAGCGTTAAGGACCTTGGGCAAATCCCAAGTAGGGTATCTATGAAACGAGGAGGGCCGCAAGAGCCTGGCTCCTCGCAGGAACTTTTTTATCACAGGGTGCTGAGTGAGTGGTCGGCCGGATGGACTGGACAAGGCCGTAGACAGAGCCGCCACATGTCTCCGAAGGGTACTATGGGCCAGACCACGGTCAAACCCATCTCTGAGGAACTCCAAGATCTGGGCAGGTGAGGCTGAAACAGGATCTATCTGCCGGGAACGGCACCACCTATAAAAGGCGAGCCAGGAGATATTGTAGAGTCTGACTGTGGATTTACGTCTGCAGGCTTGAACAATGTGAATCACCCTATCTGAATAATTGTCCTGCCTTAGACGGGCCCCTTCAAGCGCCATGCAGTCAGTTGGAGCCACTGAGGGTCCGGATGAAGAAGGTTCCCCTGACGCAGTACAATCTCGTCTGGTGGAATCCTCCAAGGGTGAAAAGTGGAGAGACTGACCAGGTCTGCGAACCACGGACGGCGTGGCCAGTGGGGAGCCACGAGGATAATTTCTGCTCTGTCGGCGATGACCTTCCGAATCAGGGCCGGAATCAGAGGCAGCGGTGGAAAGGCATAGTGAAGACCCGGCGGCCAGGTGAGACGGAGAGCGTTGACCCCTTCCGCCCCTGGCGTCGGGAACCTCGAGAAGAAGCGAGGAAGCTGATTGTTCAGGTGTGTGGCGAAGAGATCTATGGCTGGGATGCCGAACCTGTTGCAAATCTGATGAAATATGTCGGGATGAATCTGCCACTCGCTGTTGTCCACCTCTGTCCTGCTCAGGAAATCCGCCTGTGTGTTTTCCGACCCCGCAATGTGGTCCGCTCTGATGGAGAGGAGGTGTTGTTCTGCCCACTTGCCCAGGCGAAATGATTCCTCCATGAGGCGCTTTGAGTGGGTGCCCCCTTGACGGTTGACATGTGCCTTCGCCGCCATATTGTCTGTCAACACCAGAACATGACGGTGTTGCACGAACCGGTGAAAGTGCGTGAGAGCGAGACGAATGGCCTTCAGCTCCAGCCAGTTGATAGGGTTGGCGAGGTCTGATGCAGACCAACGGCCCTGAGCCACGTGTGATGCAAGATGAGCCCCCCATCCGTGAAGGCTGGCGTCTGTAGTGAGTACAAGTCGGTCGTGATTCATGAAGAGACACCCCTTGTCGAGAGAAGGCGATGTCCACCAACCTAGCGATCGCCTGACTGAGAGTGGAACTTTGACTGTTAACATGGTGTGAGCTTGGCGTTTCTTTTGAAAAGGAAGCAGGAACCACTGCAAGTGGCGAGCGTGAAGGTGTGCCCATGGGACGATCTGGACGCAGGAGACCATCTTGCCTAAGAGCTTGGATAGAGTGGCCAATGGAACTGATGGAGTTCTGCGAATGAGAGCTACTAGGTCCCTGATGTCTGACCGTCGTTCCAAGGTTAGGTAGACGGTCCCCTGGGCTGCGTCTATGATGGCGCCAAGATGGGTGATCCTGGTGACTGGCACTAACTGACTTTTTTTGTAGTTGACCAAGAACCCATGGTTGTTCAGGGTTTGAATCGTGAGGTGTAGGTCGTGTAAGGCTTGCTCTTGAGAGTGAGCCTGAATCAGAATATCGTCCAGGTAAGCCTGGATCCTTACCGGTTGTTGTCTCAGGTGAGCCGCCACCACCGCCAGGACCTTTGTGAAGACCCTTGGTGCAGATGCCAGTCCGAAGGGAAGAGCCCGGTATTGAAAATGCTTTCCTGCATAGCTGAATCGGAGATACTGTCGATGCTTTGGCAGGATGGGAATGTGAAGATAAGCCTCCATGAGGTCTATGGAAACTAGAAAATCGTTGGGACGAATCCCTTGAAGAATAGAGGTTAGTGAACACATTTTGAATCTGCGATACACTATGTATGAGTTGAGATTTTTTAAGTCCAGAATGGCTCTCCACCCCCCTGACCGCTTTGGAACTACGAACAGGATGGAATAATACCCCTGTTTCCATTGATCGTGGGGGACCTCCTCTATGGCGTGAATCTGTAGTAGGTGCTGAACTGCTTGGTTCATTAATTGACGTCTGGATTCGCTTTTGGAAGTTGGACATTGAAGAAAGCGGGTTGGAGGCCTGGAGAGAAATTCCAGGGGGAGGCCGAATTTTACAACTGAAAGAACCCAAAGGTCTGAAGATGACCTTTCCCACCTGTCCGCGAAGAGGGACAGGCGACCCCCTACTGGAGGATTTGGTAGTGAGTCACTTACGACTGCGGGACTGGCGGAAACCAGAACCCCGAAAGGACCGTTTGGGCTGGAATTGTCTGCTCCTGTCCCGAAAATATTGACGGTCCGAGGATCGATAGGATCCCTGAAGATATTCCTGCCTGGAGGGGCCTCCCTGGGGGTAGGAACGAAAGGAAGGCCTTCTGTAATATGGAGAGGGTCTTCCTTCAGCCCGTTTGTATGTTGAGGGCAAAATTTTTCGCTTGTCCCGTGTCTCTACAAGAAGAGGGTCAAGTGATTCCCCAAATAGTCTGTTTGCAGAATATGGAGCTGCAGCCAAGCGCCATTTGGCCTTAAGGTCAGCAGGCCATTGGCGAAGCCAGAGCATCCTGCGGGCTGAAACTGTAGAGGCTAAGGCTCTGGATGCAAATTTGGCTGAATTCAAGGTTGCATCAGCCGAAAATTGAGTGGCAGCAATGATTTTATTAATATCCTGATGAAGGCGAACCTCACTGGGGGGTACCCTTGCCTGTAACTGTTGAAGCCAAAGGATGGTAGTTCTATTAAAAAATGAGGCTGATGAAGCTGATTGAATTGCCCATGCCGAGGCCTGATGGTTCTTTTTAAACAGAAATTCTAACTTTTTGTCTTCTGGCCTTAGACCTTCAGAAGTATCCCCAGTTACGTATGAAGAAGAAGAGGAAAGGGCCGCTACAGGACTGTCTACAGGTGGAACTTGCAAGAGTTGAGCAAACTTTGGAGCAACAGCATAATATTTCTTATCTGAACCATGTGCAGATGCCATGGTTGCAGGCCCAGCCCACTGTTTCTTTACCACGTCTATGAACAGTTGTGGAGTTGGTACATAACAAAGTTCAGGGGGGGGCTCAGAAAAAGGTCCCTGTAGTCCACCCTTTTGAGCCTCCTGCATCTCTTGAAAGTATTCATCTTCCTTTAAGGCGGCTGTTAAGCGAGCCTTATGCAATAAAGACTTGAATTTATTGGGGGGAAATAATCCTGTAAAGGCAAGTTGATCTTGGATTATCCCCTCATCATCTGATAGGTCAGAATGTCTCTCTTCCTCAAACACAAAGGCTTCACTAACTCTGGAGGCTGCAGGAGAATGAGAGCCAGTAAGACTGACTGCAGGAGAAATTCTAATACGGGCAGATCGCTCTGAAATAGCAGAGCCAGAGTGGTGACCATGAATATTGGCTGCCATTCTAGAAGCAATGGCCTGTTCAATCAGAATTCTCAATCCTTCTGGCACATTTTTTAAAAGATCTTCGGGGGTTAGCACAGGCATAGAGGATTCACCTGTTGAAGCAGCTGCAGCTGCAGGCCCACCAAATACAGGAGTTGCAGGGGTCATTAATTGACTTGCAAAGGGGTTTTGCAAATTGCTTTGGTCTTGTTGAAGAACATTACCCTCTCCCTCCGAAGACCAGGCCTGGCTAACAGTTGAAATGGGAGGAGGGGGGGTAGATGGGGGGGGGTCCCCTTATCAGGCTCAGTTGCAGGCACTTCACTAGCTTGCTTTTCTAGAGATTTATGCCTCTTTGCTAAATCCTTCTCCTCAGGCTTAGAAAGGTGCTTACGTTTGGAAGTTGATTTCTTCCCAGTGTACATAGTATTTTCCTCCCCATGGGAAGAGCGATCCGCCATGTTTAGTATACTCACTGCGACCACGATGTCGACTGGAGAAATAGCTTTTGGTTTCAGTTTCACCACGTGTTGAAATTTGAGATGGCAACGACTCTGGCGTTAAGCACGATGGCTGCCAGGTCACACTTGAGCAGGAGGAAAACTCTGCTCTGGAGGTATCTGTCTAGGCAAGCCTAGAAACGGACCTCCTCAGCGCCCCCCCAGCCACAAAGAGAAAAAAATAAAAATACTGGCTGGAAATGCCACAGGGGGAGGCAAGAAGAAGCTTGCTGCCCCCCCCAAACTTGCAGACTCGTTGGTGGCAAAGCGGCAAAAATTTCCTTTTAAAATTGCCGCGGGGCTTCAATTAACCGCTCTACAGCTGATCAGCGGTTTTGGGATCGCTGTAGGGTGGGCGGCGGCCCGATTTGGCAATTTCCCTTAAAATTAGGTAATTGCTATTATTGTTGGTGGTATTGTGGTCTAGGGCCCCTTAAACAATCGTTGGTGGGATAGATCAAAAAAATCCCCCCCAAAAAAGACAGGAAAAAGAAAAAGGAAAAAAGTTCCCTTTTAAAATGGGGCTTTCAAAATGGCCGCCGCCAGGAGCGAAGCAAAGCCTGCAGCTTAGGAGGCTCTAGCAAAGCAAAACCGGCAGGCTACAATAGAAGGGGGGGGAAAAATTTAAAGGGGAAGTAACAATTTTAAGCTATAGAAATAAAAAGGTGGTCAAAAGGACTTACAATTCTGTGATATTGAACAGACCTGGGCTGTATAGCCAGATCTGTAGGAGATGTTTCTCTCAGGCCGACTGAGTCTAAACTGAGCATGAAAGGGGCGGAGCAAGGGGAGTGGTCAAAAGTTATGACTCAGCCAGCATCAGATCCGACTGATATAACCCTCATCTGGACAATGTCACACCCTCATCAAGGAAATGAGGGAAAGTCATCCTGAGAAACTATTACTTTTTATTACAAAGAATTCTGCCCCTTCTATTATGGAGAATTTTCTAATACCGAACTATTACACTATTCAAATCAAAACCTTGACCACTTTTTTCAGTATTTGATTTCAATGGTTCTGTTTTAATGCGGACTGAATTAACTGCTTTACAGACCCCTCACATCCTGGACACAAACTGTTTCAACTCCTACCCTCAAAACGACACCATAGAGCACTGCACACCAGAACAACTAGACACAAGGACAGTTTTTTCCCAAACGCAATCACTCTGCTAAATAAATAATTCCCACAACACTGTCAATCTATTTATTAAGTCTGCACTACTATTAATCTTCTCATTGTTCCCACCCATCCTATCACCCATCTGCTTCCACTTATGACTGTATAACTGTAACTTTGTTGCTTGTATCCTTATGATTTATATTGATATTATTTCCTGATTGCTTATTTGTACCCTATGACTATCATTAAGTGTTGTACCTTATGATTCTTGATGAATGTATCTTTTCTTTTATGTACACTGAGAGCATATGAACCAAGATAAATTTCTTGTGTGTCCAATCACACTTGGCCAACAAAAAATTCTATTCTATTCTATTCATCTATTCTATTCTAGTCTTTCCTCAGCTTGGGTCTTTCAAATACTTTGGACTATAATTCTAATCATCCCCAGAAGGTATACCGGCTGCTATGGCTCAACCCACGTGGAGAAAGGTTATTCTAAAATGCTTACCTGCTTGGAGAAAACAGCCAAGTTAGGTTTTTCCTCTTCTGGGCCACCCTTTAAAGCTAGGTCATCAGACTCACTATCACCTTGATTTTCCAAAGGTAACTTCTTTTTCTTTCTGAGCTGATCTCTTACTCGGTACCCTCGATAAATACTCTGAATGATTAGTGCTGCCTTTGCTTCATTCTCTGTGATTTGTTGGCCAGCTTCAGTAGGTTTCTGAGAGCTTCGTGCAGATCCTGTTGGATCACTTCTTTCTCGAAAAATAAGTTGGTTTTGGTCTTCTTTAGGAAGATTTTCTTTTTTTCCTGGGCTTGTTGCCATTTCGGCTTGCTTATTCTTGAGAAGTGATTCTCTGAAACAAATGTAATATATTTAGCGAAGATTACAGGAGACAGCTACTGCAACCTTACAAGACCACTCAGGCCTAGTTTATGCATTAAACTGTCAATATAATACTTTTTTTTTTCCAAAACGAAAAGAAAGCAAAACATTTCTTGGGAGTGATGTTTTTTTCTGCATGCAGCACATGTTTATTTTGCAAAATAAAGGTATATACTGTAATGTTAAATAATAGGATTTATGGTCACCAGGAGATAGGCAGCAGTTTTCTGTATATTATTCCATTAAAAGTACAATGGGAAACAAAATCATGTGTATACTTTTATCACCTCTCACTCAGTGTCAGACCATCCAGTAACTAATTCCTATCCTATGAAATGGCCTTCCATATATACTGCTGAGAAAGAAGAAATGGACTTGGAGAGGCCGTTTGAATCCACTCCAGTACTAGCTCTTCATCCCAATTGCACGAAGGCCTCATTTGAGTCACAATTTGTGATTCTAGGCCATCAGTATCTGTGTTGCCGGGAAGAGGAGAATGAGGTCATTCTTAAATTAAGAAGAGCTCCGCTGGACCAGACCAAGGGTGGTCCAATTCAGTGCAATATCATTTGGTTCTGAAAGGCATTCTGCCACCAATGCATCTGTTTTAGTAATTTGCACTCCAGATTGAGTACCAGGTAAAAAGGCTATTCAGTATTATTTTCTTTCTTGTATTTTTAAAGTACCCTATATTTTCAGCATCTCTAGTCTATCCAAGAGCGATTTAAAAATGCATTTGCTTCCATTCCAAATGGAATGGAAATTTCACATCTCATTTAATGAACAAAATGTTAAGAATACAGGTTGAGGGTTTGGTTTTTTCCCCCATACTATAGTTTTAGCACATACATCTTTCCTTATGTTATCTTTTGAAAACAAAACTTAGTATGAGGAAATCTCTCTTTGAGAAAGACTGCATGGCATGGTGCTGCTTGAAATGAAACAGAAGATTATGTTTTATTGCAGAAGAGTTGGTATTTAACAGAGTAATCGTAGGTAAAATAAAATACTACCTTCTTTTTTTGAGACTTGTTCTCTCCCTGTATCCTCTGAAGTAAGACTGAATTGTTATTGCAGCGTTGTTTATTTCTTTAGCCCCCTTTTGGCTCGAGAATCTTCTTGTAACTAATATAAGTCACAGTAAGAATAAACCCTTAATTTATTGTGGAAATCAGCATATTAAAACTATCTCTTCTTTAATCTGGCACTTTTCAGATTGGATTGGAGGACTGTTCTCATCAACTCTCTTTCTCCCAATTTAGCCTGCTGGGTCTATAGCTGTAGATGATAGGAATTGTTCTTTTCAGATGCTGGAGAATGGGGAACACTGGGTTATACAATCAATGTATTATGTGATATGATTTTCATGATCTCTATCCAAGGTAATGAGAATTTACAGACTTATGTTATTAAATACAGACTTATGTTATTAGTCACTCACAAATCTTCAGTATTAATTGGATTCAACTGAATTTAGAATAGAACAGAACAGAATAGAATAGAATAACAGAGTTGGAAGGGACTTTGGAGGTCTTCTAATCCAACCCCCTACTTAGGCAGGAAACCCTATACCATTTCAAACAAATGGTTATCCAATCTCTTCTTAAAAACTTCCAGCGTTAGAGCATTTACAACTTCTGGAGGCAAGTTGTTCCACTGATTAATTGTTCTAACTGTCAGGAAATTTCTCCTTAGTTCTAGGTTGCTTCTCTCCTTGATTAGTTTCCTCCCATTACTTTTTGTTCTACCCTCAAGTGCTTTGGAGAATAGCTTGACTCCTTCTTTGTGGCAGTCCCTGAGATATTAAAGCACAGCTATCATGTCTCTCCTAGTCCTTCTCTTCATTAAACTAGACATACCCAGTTCCTGCAGCTGTTCCTCATATGTTTTAGCTTCCAGTCCCCAATCATCTTTGTTGTTCTTCTCTGCACTCTTTCTAGAGTCTCAACATCTTTTTTCATCATGGCGACCAAAACTGGATGGAGTATTCCAAGTGTGGCCTTACCAAGGAGTTCTAAAGTAGCATTAACACTTCATGTAGTCTTGATTCTATCCCTCTGTTTATGCAGCCTAGAACTGTGTTGGCTTTTTAAACAGCTGCTGCTCACTGCTGGCTCATATTTAAATGGTTGTCCAGTAGGAGTCCAAGTTCCCTCTCACAGTTACTACTATTGAGCGAGGTACAACATATACTGTACTTGTGCATTTTGTTTTTCTTGCCTAAATGTAGAACCTTACTTTTTTCGCCATCGAACTTCATTTTGTTAGATAGTACCCAATGTTCAAGTCTGTCAAGATCTTTTGTTATCAATTTCATCATAATGCTTGGTTGATGGATAAGCATTTTCCACCATATTTCATAAAAGCAGGTTTGCTTAGGAACGCCTGATCATAAGTCACAGTTCCGCTGTTCAGTGCCTTGCCTCTATTTATAACCTAGCATTTATTTGTTTCATCAGATCATGCCTCACTCCTTTTTCCTGATTTCCCTTGTTCAAACTTTTCTTTTGGGGTCCTAAAATCTCACCTCAATGCCCAGATTTTGCAGTTATTCTTTCTTCTTTGAAGTCACTAGACTCTCAATTCTCATGGGATTTAACTCTCTTTGCCTACTTCCCCTATCTGGAAAGTATTTTTTCCCTCCCCCAACCTGTCCATCCCCCCCCCCAGATAGAGTGAATGGGGAGGGATACTAAACAAGGGTGAAACTACAACTTTTGATTCAATATTTTATTGCTCACTGCCATTGGCTGATAGGATCATGGTGTCAGAAACAGTTCTGGGTTACGGCAATAATTCTGCGCAAGTAGGCTGCCTATTGCTTCAGCAGGAAAGTCTATGAAAAGCTCCTATTTGAATTGCAACTTTTTAAAAAAATAGTTCAAGTTCTAGATTCTGATTTCTAGCTTTGATATCTGGCTTCACTCCGGTGTCCTGATTCTCAGCTACCACTTGTAGTCACTAGCTCAGACTGAAATACATTAAGCGGAAATAGAAGAAACAATTCTTTCTTCTAAATCTGTTTGATAGCTATGCATTCTGATTGTACAAACCTTGATGCTATAATTGGAAAGTCTTACCTGATTGGAGCTTGATAATCCACATAGCTGTTCCATACACACTCTTTGCCTCTGCCAATGCTTTGCGGGTGATATATCCCCTGTAAACTGAAGATAGAAAGTGAAAACCTCTAAAGTAAGCTGTTGTATTTTCCTACAGGGTTACCTAGTTATTCACATCTGCAAGGAGGAAAGAAGTGGATAAAAGATTATTCTTTGGGACAAACTTTGTTGTCTTTGTGGCATCCTTTGAAAGAGGGCAACGAGGACTATAGGGATTGGACCATGTAATAAAATAGATGGGCCTATACAAATGCAGCCAGTGTAAACATTTTTGTTTTGAAACTGGACTTCAAGATGAGGCTCTATCTTTGAATTGTAAAACTATGACACCTCCAGTGGTAGAAAACAAGAAAACTGGGAAGAAAGCAAAGAAAGAAAAAATAGGGCTTAGGGACATTAAATACATCTGAAATCATAGGTTGCTAAAAAATCATGTTTTAGGACATCAAATACAATGAAATTTTATGTAGAGATCCAGGCTTATGACAAGAAAACACAAGTTGATTCAATATAAAGCTTTCATTTAGGAACAAGAATGCAACTTTCCTCTCAAAATGGAAAATTCAGACTTTAAAAGAGATAAAATTGGAAATGGGCTTAGGGATCAAACTGCCATTTATCAAAAGCTTAAATCCCAAACAAGATGCTCTATCTTTTCAGCTAAAGCCTTATAGTTGCTTAGTCAAAAACCAGCTTAATTAATTCTTCTCACCTTAGTCCTTTCAGCTTTATGTATTTATTTGTTTATTTGAAAACACTGTCAGAGGACTTTTCTAGTAGCGATAATGCTCACAATATCAGACAATTTTCTGCTGGGAAATAAAGTGGATGAGTAGACAAGACTGTCAGCTGTAATGAAAAGCCATCAATGCAAGAAAGGGACTTTTTAAAGAGGAAATGGTCAAGCTGGAAGATGAGAAAAGGCAGAGGAGAACAAAGCAAACAAAAAGGAGGGAAATACGGGACTACATTACTGGCTCTGGCTCTTGATATACTATTTTGGTGAATTGAAAATTTTTAAGGGGGTTGAGAGTATCTTCTCATATTCCCTTGTCCAGAGATATTAATCAATCTCATTGGTAGGATCTGCCAACTTCCTGGCAATCTCCTACTTTGGTTACAGATTGATTTTCCTAAGATATTCTGCAAGTCACCAATTCAAGACTCTATATAGAAAAGGGAAGGGCAACTAGAGAAGTGAAAATGTCATCAAAATAACAAAATTTGCATTATGACATCCCAATACAAGCTCTATCCCTTCCATACTTGTATGTGACATCATAATACAAATAAAAAAATGGTAGAGTTTACTTTGTGATGCATGTAAGTGATGCCCATCAAGGAGGGAAATCTTCATGTATGCAGACTTGAGATTTGAGATAAAAGTCAAGCTATAAGTACAAAATAGAACAAGAGAACAAAATTATATATAGTGAGAATTAAAGCAATAGTTAAAATGGGTGTTTCTTTTGTTTTATACCTGAGTATCTTATTCTATGTAAATACATGTATATGTGATGCTAAAAATATTTTTGTTACCTGATTGTATTTTAATTGCACTTGCTTGCCTTTTCTCCTTCAACCTTTTAAATCTGTTTGAATGAAGCCATTTTCTCACATAGGTTTGAATCAAAACAATCCTGTGCATTGTCTCCTTTTGCTTTATATTTAGTTGCTCTACGTGGTAGTACTTCAGAAAAACCTTTTGTAAAAAAAGAGGAGGATCACAATAGATTATAAAGAGAAGACCCACTTAATTACATAGATAACATTTCCCATGATGATTGCTGCCTAGCTAAGAGGAAGCCACCCAATATCTGCCTTAAAAAAAAACAACAGCAATGTTGGAAGTCAGGATGATTAGATATGAAAAATGTCCAGGGAACAGATGTTCCTATTTTATGGTGGGTAAAATGTCAGATAGTCTGTCTGACATTTTTATTCCAACAAGCCAGGCTGGCCTAATTTTTAAATTTTTAATTGTTAATTCTAATTTTTAAATGTCCAAAACGGGTAGTTTTATTTTAATTAGATATGGACCAAATTATTTAATATTTTTTAAATTGTTTTTTAAATTTTATATTTATTTGTTTTATTCTGGCTGTACACTGCCCTGAGTCCTTTTGGGAGAAGGGCAGTATACGTGTGTGTGTGTGTGTGTGTGTGTGTGTGTGTGTGTGTGTATGGAATTCTGAATCCGGCATTGAATTCTAGACAAAATAATGTTACTAAAACAGTTTTTGCAATGTATTCTAAGTATCTATGAAACTGTGTACAAAATAGCCAGAATCCAAAGTCACAAATATATAGGTTAATCATAACTATTAGGCCAACTTCAAGCTAATGAGTTCACTAGAACTTTTCATCAAATTATATTAAATAAGTTATTAAAAAAAAGAGAGGATAATTTTTTAAAAACTGGTGGATGTAACTATTGATGGCATATGAGTGAGCCTTCATAGCATTATAGTCTTGATTATTCTACTTGTTTCAGCAGGAGCACTGCAGACAATATTACAGGTGGATAGTGGCAGAGCATGGAAATAGTACCTTTGTTTTCCCAACCATCCATTTATCCAAACTGGCTTTTTTCAAGATGGCAGTACAAGTAGCAGAATTTATAGGAAGTTCGTTGCTGGAATTGTAACAAAGGAAATAGTATCTACAAGAGAAAGAAAGAGTTCAGGAAGGAAAGAAAGAGAAAGAGTGAGAGGAAAAAGGTCCAACTATTTAACAATGCATTTATAGGAGATACTGTATTTGGTGCTTATTAGATAAACAGTAAACAATCTTTTTTTTTTTATTGCAAAAGTTTTACAATTACATTTTTACCCCTTTTTCCCCCCCACCTCCCCCCCCAGACTTCCCAACCTCCCTAACCCTCCCTAACCCTCCCCTCCCCCCAGACTTCCCTATAATATACTCATAAAAAACCCTTAATATGACACTTATGTATAAACTTGAACCCCTCCCTCCCCTGTATAATTTTTCTTTTTACCTCATTACATTAAAATATTTCTAAAACATTATTTTCAAGTAAAAGCTATTTGATACTTTCTAGTTTGATATTTGTTCTGAACATATTCTATCCATCTTTTCCATTCCCATTCATAAGTCTCTTGTGAACAATCTTTTAAGTATGCTGAGATCTTCGCCATCTCTGCAAAACTGGCCATCTTCAAAGTCCATTCCTCAATAGTGGGCAAAGTTTCATTTTTCCAGTATTTACCTATCAACAATCTTGCTGCTGTTATCATATACAATATCAGTTTTGTTTCACCCGATGTAAAACCCTTAACTATACCCAATAAAAACAATTGTGGAGAGAATTGAATTTTTTTCTTCAACATATTCTGCATGACCCACCAAATTTTTATCCAAAAAGCCTTAACTTTCCTACAGGTCCACCAAACATGATAATACGTAGCATCCAAACATTCACATCTCCAGCATTTTGGCTGAACATTAGGGTACATACATGACAACTTTTTGGGATCTAAATGCCATCTATAAAACATTTTATAGAAATTTTCCCTCAGGTTCTGCGACTGTGTAAATTTAACATTCTGAACCCATATTTTTTCCCATGTTTCCAACATCACTGGTTCTGCAAAATTTTGTGCCCACTTTATCATACAATCTTTAACCAATTCAGTTTCTGAATCCCTTTCTAGCAAAACATTATAAACCCTTTTAATATGCATTGGACCTTTCTCTTTTATATGTCTAACCAATTCTTCCTCATGCAACATAATACCAGTTTTTTGATCCTCTTTCCATCTCAATTGTAATTGATTATATTGTAACCAAGTTAAATTAATCCCTTCGTCCAACAGTGTCTGCAATGTCTTCAGCTGCCATCTGCCCGCATCTGTAAAAAGAACCTCTTTGTATAAAACCCCCCCGAGTGACATTATATTTGTATTCCACAAAGTATGACCAAGATCCAGCCATAGCGGTATTTTATAATCCCATTTGAGTCGGTGCTTCTTCCAAACTCTCATCAAAGAATCTCTAAGTATATGACTTTTAAATACTTTATCTACTTTGTCGTTGTAAAATAAGTAAGCATGCCATCCAAATTCAAGATCAAAACTTTCTGCGTTCAATATTCCAGCCTTTTTCCTTCCAAACCAATCACTTGTTAAGGTTAAAGCTGCTGCATCATAATATAGCTGTAGGTTTGGAAGTTTAAGACCTCCTCTTTCTGGAACATCTTGCATAATTTTCAATTTCACTCTCGGCTTCTTCTCGTTCCAGACAAACTTATTCACTCCAGATTGCCAAACTTTCAATTGTTTATCACTTTTAAGCACCGGAATCATTTGAAACAAAAAAAGAAATCTTGGCAAAATATTCATCTTAACTGCTGCTATTCTTCCAAGTAGAGACAGCTGCAGTTTTTTCCAAGTCTCCATATCTTTCTGCACCTCTCGCCACAACACCTCATAGTTATTTTGAAACAATTTCATATTTGATTCTGCAACCTGAACTCCTAGATATTTTACCTTAGGTACAGTCTCAAAACCTGCCCTCCTTTCAAGCTCATGTTTACGATCTTGTGTCATGTTTTTAGCTATCATTTTAGTCTTTTTTGGATTCAATCTAAAACCTGAAACTTTACCATAGTCTTGTATAATGTCCTTCATCAAGATTATTGATTCCATTGGTTGTGATAGGGTAACAACCAGATCATCTGCAAATGCCTTTATTCTGTAATCCTCTTGCCTAATCTTTATACCTTTCAAGATATTAGAGTCCCGTATTGTATTTAGCAAGACTTCTAGTGTTAAAATAAATAAAAGTGGGGACAACGGATATCCTTGTCTTGTTCCTTTTTCAATTTTAAACTCTGTTGTCAGACTTCCATTAATAATAATCTGTGCCTTTTGCTCTTGATAAATTGCCGAAATCGCCTGTATAAATTGATCCCCAAAATCCATCTTTTTCAAAGTCTTTAATAGAAAATTCCAATCCACTCTGTCAAAGGCCTTCTCTGCATCCAAAAAGACCAGCACTGCAGGGATCTGTTTATTCTTCTCAAGATATTCCAATAAATCTATTACTTGCCTTACATTGTCCTTCATATATCTACCCTCGATAAATCCCGCTTGATCATCATGAATCACCTTTTGAATTACTGGCATCAACCTGTTGGCTAGTACTTTCGCAAAAATTTTATAATCTGTATTCAAAAGAGATATTGGTCTATAGTTCTCTGGTTTTTTAGGACCGATTTGTTCTTTTGGTATCAAAGATATGTAAGCTGTTGTCCATGATGGGGGTATTTTACCCCCTTGCTGAATATTGCAAAATAAATCTCTAAGTTGTTCCACCATTTCAGCTTGCAAAGTTTTGTAATACACTGCAGTCAAGCCATCCGTACCAGGAGCTTTGGCTGTTTTTAACTGTTTAATTGCTACTATTATCTCCTCCTCTGTTATGGGATAATTCATTCTTTCCTTTTGTTGATCAGTAATTTTTGTAACTCTTTTATCGTTTAAATATTTTTCTATAAGTCCATTCTGCACCTCCTCTTTAGCATATAATTTAATATAATAGTCCACAAAAGCTTCTTTAATTAATTTTTGTTGAAAAATTTCTTTCCCTCCAATATCAATACTATCAATAGTCCGTATACTTTGTTTTTTCCTCAATGTGTAAGCCAACCATCTGCCCGGTTTATTAGCGTTACAAAATGTATTATGCTTCACATATTGTAAGTTTGTTGCAACTTGTTCCGCCATAAGCATTTGAAATTGGTCTTTCAAAAGTTTTATAGCACTACGTATTCTTTCATCTGTTGGATTTTTAATAAGTAACTGTTCTTTTTTCTTTATTTCTATTTCCAATTCAGATCTTTTCTTTTGTCGGAACAGTCTATGTTTAGAGTTCATGTAGATAAGTACCCCTCTCATATAAGCTTTACTTGCATCCCACACAATTTCAATTGGGGTGCCTTTATTCAAATTTATTTCAAAAAATTCTTTCAAATGCTTTTTAAGTTCTGTTGTATTTTTTTCATATCTAAACAAATTCTCATTTAATCTCCAAGAACGTCTCTCAACCTTGTCCATCTCAATTTCTATCCATACTGGGCTATGGTCAGTCAAAGTTCTTGGAAAAATCTTTGTTCTTTTTGTCTTAACAAGTAAATCATCTGTCAACAAAATAAAGTCAATCCTAGAGAAGGATCTGTGTCTGTCAGAATAAAAAGTATAGTCCAATTCTTTTGAATTATGTATTCTCCAAACATCTTTTAGTTCCATATCTTCTTTCATGTCAAAAAAGGTCTGTGGTAATCTGATTCTAGACTTCGCCAAACTCTTTTTATCTAATTTAGAATCGATTACTCCATTCCAGTCTCCCATAATTAAAATAGATCTGTAATCCCATTGCAATATTTTAGTATGTAACATCTTATAGAAATAGTCCTGTTGTTGATTGGGAGCATAAATCCCAATCAGAAGAATTTGGCCATTTGCGGTAGACAATTCAATTGCTACAAACCTACCATCTTCATCTGTTTCTATAACTTTAGCTGTTAACTTTTTATTTACATAAATTACCACTCCATTCTTTTTTTGCGAAGTTGAAGATATAAAATGTGTTCCTAGTTTGGAGTTTATCAAATATTTTTGATCTTGAGTTGTGATATGCGTTTCTTGTAAACAAATTATATCATTATTAAATTGTTTCAAATATGTAAATAATTTCTTCCTTTTCTGTGCTGAATTCAACCCATTAACATTCCAGGATAAACACCTAAACGTCATCAGCCTCTTTCTGGAGCCAAGAGCAAAATAATTGAAGATCATCCGAAATCTTCGATCTCGCTCCTCCCATAACTCCAATCTCTTGTGCAGTACTCTTATCTGCCTCCTTGTCTTGTCTTTCCTGTTGTTGTTGTTGCTTTTGTTTAAGTAACTTAGCTTGAGCTCGAGTTATACGTTGATCCTTAACTTCAATCATCCGAACCGGATCCAAGATTGGAGAAGATTCCAGCAAGGGCTCATCCAGAAAACCTCCTTCTGCACCTTGCACTTCTTCTAATTCCTGCTTAGACTGTTCTTGCAGTTCTCGTTGAGGTTGCTTCTCTTCACTCTCTTTAATCTCCAAAACTGTAGATGTACGTGGAGATGGTGTTCTTTCCTTAAAAATAGTAGTGTAGAAGTGCTGTGCCTTCTCCACGGTATTCAAACGATATCTTTCTCCCTTGTATCTGAAAATTATGCCAACTGGTGCGTCCCACCGGAAAGATATCTGTAAATTTTGCAATTCCTTAACAAGAAAGCCAAATTCTTTTCTAGCTTTCAGCATTTTAGGAGGTAATTCTTTATAAATTCCAATTCGTGAACCCCCCACTTGTACAGAAGTGTAAAAGGATTTTTGCAGGATATCGTTTCTTATTTCTCTGTCTGTAAAATATATGACTACGTCTCTAGGTAATTGTCTTTGTCTGGCCACCCAAGAGTTCACTCTGTAAATTTTGTCTATTTTGTGAAAAACCACATCTGGATTAACTTGTAAAATCTTAGCCAGGGCCTCAGAACAAACTTGTCTCAAATCCTGTCTTTCCTCCTCTCGAATTCCTCGAAGCCATATAGCAAACTCCATTGCCCTGAATTGTATCATGACAATCTCATCTTCAACTCTCTGCATTTTATTGTCAACATCAGCAATTTTATAATCATTGTCTTTCATCTTAACATTAACTTCTGATTTAAGTTCTTCAACTTTAAAATCAACTTTCCCAATAAATTCTGCCAGGCCAGATGCCACTTCTGATATTTTTTTGGTCACCTTGTTTTGATTCTGTTTCACCATATCTTTAACTTCATTAATTTCCTGCATAAATTCCTGGTGTGATTTTTGAAGTTTATCATCTATCCCCTGATGTGATTTTTGAAGTTTATCATCTATCTCCTGTTGAGATTTTTGAAATTTATCATCCAAAGTTTTAGAAATAAATTCTTTTAAATCTCCCACATCAAATTCTTTTTTCTGAGTCTGTAACTGTTGAGCAGGGGGAAGCTGCGTTTCATGTTTGTGTGTGGGGGATCCCCCCCCTGTTGCCTTCCCTTCCTGCTTCTTTGAAGTCATTCTGCCACGTAGGCTAGTTTTTCTGAAGAGGGAAGTTCCTTTTCCTTTCCCTCCTGGACAAAGACTTCTAAAAAAGTCCCCCAGATTTAATCAAATAAGACTGAAGTAAAACAAAGTCAAATTTTTAGAAAAAGGAATTTTTTCTTTAGGTAAAGCAACTTTGTAGCAGCTCTGTAACTTTATAGCAAAGCAGGAAGGCTTCACAAATCCACTTTCACTAGCTTGTTAACTCAAATGCTGGGCGCCATATTTTTTCAAATCACTTTCACTCACTCACTTTCTCTTTTGATTTAAAAAGTCAACAAAGCACTAATACTTGCAATTTTCAAGTTTCTGGATTCAAGTTGGTATTTCCGCTGTTTGTTAGGGTTAGTTCCTTTCACTTTAAAAGTTTGCTGCTGCCGGCTTGTTCTGCTGAAGGCAGAATCGTCCTGCGCCGCCCGGAGTCTCCGCAGGTTGGGAGGGAGCCGCGCCTGTTTTCTCCCCCAGAAGCAATTCCCTGGGGGGGTTACAGGGGCTCAACCTGTGCCCTGCTGTCTCTGCTCCTACAATCTTCGAGATTTCGGAGTTTTCGAGCCGCTCCTCGTTCGCGGGGCGGCTCTACAGGCAGCGGGGCTGGCGGTCTTTAAAAAATCACCGCCGTCGCCAAAGCTTGCAAACCGGAAGTCAGTAAACAATCTTTACAAGGTTGAGTGCATCATATTTACCAAGCTAAAAGGCTATTCCAATACTGAGGTGCACTCAAGTAACAGAAACTGCAAACAAAGCATCATTGAATAGGTTTCAATTTATCCACCCATTCAGATACCTCACTACTGTACAGAAGGAACAAATTTTCCACCTGACTAGCTCATTTTTCAGAGAGGAAAATGTATGATGCTCCTGCTACCTTCTCAAGAAGGCCACTGGATTTTTTTCCTGCCTATGTTAAGTCTTGTCAGCTTTGATAGGTATAACATGAGTGACAACACACTGACTTTTGAAAAACTATCTTAGTTTGTACAATGTAAGCAAATCTTTAAAGGATTGAATATTATAGCACTTTTTTGTTTATCTATCCATTTCTCCATCCCTCACCTAACTAAATTACCATAAATTAACCAAAGTCTAGTTCAACTCCAGTTACCTGCAAGATGACCACTCCCACTAGAGGGGCCCAATTATTTTGATCATGCTGGGAGAAGCAACTAGTTGTTGTCCTGGAAATTTGGGCACCAATGTCAACTAGTATTTTCTTCTTTCCTCTAGTTGGAGACTGCTTTGTCTCCAACATTATCTAACTTTAGGAAGAGGATGAAAATAGAACTTTTCCAGAGGATTTTGAGGATCTGATTCCAGATATTTTTTTGAGATTTTTAAAATTGTATTTCTAAGGCATTTTTGGTCTGCATTATTATGTTTGATGTGAGTACTAGTTTGGTCAAGTGGATAAGGTATCAGGTTAGAAACCTGGGGACTGTGAGTTCTGGTCCTGCTTTAGGCATGATAACTGGCTGGGTAATGTTGAGCCAATCACTTTCTCTTAGCCCATGATGTCCAGGTCAGGTGACAAATCACCTCTGGTGAAAAGTCCCGTTTCAATCAATGGATCAACATTTGGTTGATCTGAAAAAAAGCACACCCTGCTTTTGCAGGAAAAACACTAGAAAAAAAAGGTTTATTATTTTGATCCAGCTATGGTCTTTTTTGATAATTGTGGCAGGTTGTAAATCTGTAAATAAATAATTCTGAGGATTTATTTATACAAATAAAAAATGCAATTGTAATATTTCGAGATTAGTTTTACATACTTCTTGTTTTCTTGTTCCTTCTTTGCCTGGCCTTTCCAAGTGAAAAAAAGCAGAGATCCTTCTTATTTTAAAGAGGCTGGTGACAGTATGTATGTATGTATTAAATTAATTAAAATGCCACATTTATTTGTTTATTTTATATGCCACCTTTCTTACCTTTAAGGCAATACTGGCATTCTCTTGGCAGAAACACAAGCAGATAGAAAAACCAATAACACAGAAGGAAGGAGGAGTAGAAGGTCTTGTTTTACAAGGACTTACCGATTTATGAAGTTTGCAAAAAGAATACGATGAGAATATCCCTGTTGCCGAATCCGAGCTGTTTCCAAAATTCCAGTGTATCGCAACTGAATCAATACTTTTTCTTTGTCATATTTGTTCGCCTGACGATGGTTGTTTGGTTTAATACAACGAACAAAATGAGGCTGGCCAACCGCCAGTTTGTACAACAAATCCATCAATGAATTCTGAATAGGAATGATGAAAATAAAACATTTGGGATTCTTTTACAGACTCTATTTGCAAAAACTGATAAAGCTTCTGTTGGCAACATTTGAAATGTGCCTGGCTCAAAGAATAACTACAGGCGATCATAAGTAAGAATGAATTTGCTGCAATAACTGAAAGAGCAGCTATAAATAATCTCTTGTTCTCACCAATATTTTAAACAATTCAAAACTGAGTGAAGAAAATGTCAGGAAGAAGTAAATGTTTGGGGCCAGTGAACATATTTAGAACTACCATCAAGCCACCACTATATAAAACACCAGTTGACCAAAGTGCAAATAACTACTGTATGATTGATTTCCACCATAACCTTTAGACTTGGATGATTATTCTGGAGGATTTCTATTATCCCATCTGCTCTGAGATACCCTTTTGTAAGCTCCCTTATTTCAGAATGAAGTTGAGAGAAATACATGTAAATACAGATAGTCCTCGACAGTTCATTTAGTGACCATTCAAAGTTACAACAGCACTGAAAAGAGTGACTTATGACTGTTTTTCACACTTATGACCATTGCAGCATCCCCATGGTCACCTGACCAAAATTCAGATGGTTGGTAAGTGGTTCATATTTATGATGGTTGCAAGGTCCTGGGATCAAGTTGTTCCCTTTTGCGACTTTCTGACAAGCCAGGTCAATGGGGAATCCGGATTCACTTAACAACGATGTCAACAACTTAACACTTAACAACCATGTTACTAACTTACAAATGCAACGATTCACTTAACAATTGTGGCAAGAAAAGTCCTAAAATGGGGCAAATTCATAATAAAACATTAACAAATGTTTCATTTACCAACATAAATGTTGGGCTCAATTGTGGTCGTAACTCGAGGACTACCTGTAAACATAATCGTAGAGTGCTTTGCTTTAGAATACCCTAATTTACTACCTCACTTTAAAAATTTAAAATAATATTTTAATGTCAGATGGAATATGGAGTCTGGCAAGCACCAAGAATAGTGTGTCAACTCTGAAGCTGGCCTGACTGAAGCCATTTTGAAACTTCAGTGTTGCCACACTGGAGTTGAGGGATAGGGAGGGGGAATAGAAATAGTTGGGGTTTTGTAGCCAAAACAAAATACTTTCTCCTGGGAACCAAGGACAATTCCACAGGTGGCCAGAGAGAGAGGGGAGGAGTGAAGTTACCAGGCAACTGGATGGCACTTTGATTGGACCATGTGACTGATTGTTTAGGAAAGGGGAAAAACTTTTACTTTTATTTAGGTGAAAACTGTGGGAACTTTCAGAGTCGGTTTTCACCAGGTTGTGCCAATATGACATTTCTAATAAAACTATTCTTTGAGGAAACTACCTGCCTTGGAGTTTTGTTTGCTATGGATGTATTACTTGGAACTCTGAATTGTGCCTGTAGGCACAGCCTAGCCCATGACCTCCAGACTGCTTATCCCTGCTCTTAGCTTGATTAGTCAGCTGCCACAAAACAGGAGGAGAACAAAGCTGGCAAAACACTAAGTGAATTCATCCTGTATACTGAATGATGCAACATTTCAAAAATAAAATTAGCCCTACATCAAAGTGCAGAACTTGTACATGAAATTAAAACAATTAACCCATCTGGGAATGAGATGGATGACTCACCTTTCTTTGAATATATAAATAACTATGTGCCAAAGGTATCATATTAGCAGGTAATGCTAAATGAAGTATTTAAATTTCTGTCACATCTATGTCCTCACTTTTGACAAGAGATTATTTCTTTATGTCAAATGTAAACTTTCATTACTGGATTAAACTGCAATTTATAATCCTAGGTTCTTTAGGCAAAGTTTATTTAAAGGGAAACCTAGAGACTGAATGTGCAGAATAGACAAAACACACAGGAGAAAGGAATTTTCAGTTTGGTTGTCTATGAGCTCTGGCCTATTCAGTACAATGTATTCATTGTTGAGACTTTTCTGGTGCTTAAAACTGTATGTAGATCATAAAATTGTTTATCTTAACTTCTTGATTGCATACTCTTATGCTAACAGTCATGTAGATCACGGTGACCTCTGATGCTAAGCAAATTGGTTGTGGCTGATGTCTTAAGCTAACACATTGCACGTAGGGGCTCTAGCACACTCTCTTCCTATTATGTACTCCTAATGAGCAGAGAGAGATGTAATTGCCTCTTGGCAATTAATGGTGGTTGTGGCATAAAATGGTATTCAGACAGGTGTTCTACAATGCCTCAATGCAAATTCTTATTCAAAACAGAGAAGCTAATTGTGCAAGCACCAGAGTGCCTCAAAAGAAAATGGTAGCAACAATGTAATACTCTTGTAAGTGCATTATTCAAATGTAAATTTAAAAAGCATATTAATATGCTCCTTGAATGTATAATTACAATTTCAGTCGGCATCACAAACCAAATGCTATAATTGACATAATAATCAAATCCAACCAGAGAGTGATAAAAATCTTTGGCAGGGACACATACAAGCAATATCATGAATATGAATATAATATGGAACACAACAAAATTATAGTGTATTTTTTCTCTGACTTAAGCCTATGAAGAGAAAAGAGTCCTTTGAATTGAGCTTGACTTCTGATGAATACAGAACCCTATATTTTTCTTTGAAGTAATATGGAAGTTGTTTGGAAGTTATTTTTGGAGGGATATTTATTTGATTTCCAAATCTACATTATACATAAAGAGCCGAGATGGTGCAGTGGTTAGAGTGTAGTACTACAGGCTACTTCAGCTGACTGCTAGCTGCAGTTCAGAAGATCGAATCTCACCAGGCTCAAGGTTGACTCAGCCTTTCATCCTTCAAGATGGGTAAAACGAGGACCCAGATTGTTGGGGCAATATGCTGACTCTGTAAACCACTTAGAGAGGGCTGTAAAGCACTATGAAGCGGAATATAAGTCTAAGTGCTATTGCTAAGTGCTATTGCTATAGCCTTGGGATTTTCTAGGAATCTCCAATCCAAATCCTACCCAGATCCAATCCAATTTAACTTTTTGAGTTAAGCCAAAGTAGATTCTATGCTCATTTCTCAAGAATGCCTATACAATGGGCTCTGGTGGGACACAGAAATATTTGTATATGTTGTTGGCTGGAATTTTATTTTGGAGGATGACAATTAAAAGAATCTGAAAATAAAACAAATCAAGTGGGCAAGGACACATGAACCTACTATAAGCTGTTAGTTACTGGCAGGTAAATGCTGGAATTTGTGAATTCCAAAAGACAAACACAACTAATGATGGCATCTCTTTTAAAAGTTCAAATAAAGATATAGAATCCAATGTTGAGATAGCTTATATTCTGAAAGGGTCATATATCACAAATTCTTTGAGTATAACCAAATTAAAATTAGAACCAATTGCTGCAGCCATCTCACTCAAGAGTTCTCTTCTTAAAATGGCCTTGAGATAACTAAGTAGTTAATAGGTGCCCTTAGAAAATATTTAGAAATTGTTTCAAGTAGCAGACTGGAACAGGCAATGAATTTTGGCCAAGTCTCATCCATGGTCTTTTGCAGGGCCACTTAGATCAGTGTTTCTATACCATCCAGGTAACCTGGATGGTAACCACAGTTAGATCATAGGCTATTTATTCTTCCACTGTCAATAAGCTGATTTGTTTGTGCATGCATGCATCATGCCAATGATATTAGATGGACAGAATCTTCACAAATTCAAGTTAACAATTAGAAAATTAGTGGATTTATTAGCTATTTCAGTAATAATGAATTGAAGTATTTTCTCCCAGTTTTATGCATTAAAATAATATTCTAAAACATTAATATTAAACCTCTCCTTGCCCAGCATCTGGATGTTTCTTGCTCATTTCAGGGAGGTAAGGATAGTGAGATGCTGGTATTAAGAGAGGAGACCAGTACCAGAATATACTAAGGCTGAAGGCAGATTGAAAAGTTTAAAAATCTTCCCCAAAAGTGAAAATAACAAAGGATCTCCATATCGATGTGAAGAAAATTAATAGGCATATCCATCGAGTTATCAAGAGTCAAGACTGCATAGTGGGAGAATTGACTTTAATCATATAATTACAGAAAGTAGTGTGGATAGTTGTATGAATAACATGCATTAAAATATAAAATAAACAATGTCTTACTCGGAAATAAGAAGCAACTGTCTGTATTTTCGTATTGGTTGTTTCTCTTGGATGCATGGAACCTTCCTGCTGATTCTATTTGATCAAAAAAGAAAAATGACACTGCTTATCAGTACAACAGCCAAAAGTGATTGAACCTGCCCAACAAAACCTGCATGTACCCATTCTAAGCTGTAGGTGCTGTTATTTCATAAACAGAATAATTTATCATGCTGTATATCTGGGAAAGCTGAACATTTTGATACAAGTGTTTGTCACAAATATGAAGAAAAACAGCATGCCTATCGCTCTCTTATTTATTAAAACTTCGTACATCTAATGAGCATATTAATTACAATAGTAATAGTTGTGTAGCTCTTTCAATAAAGTTGGATGCAATTCTATAATTAAAATCTTTGTGTTTTCTCTTTTTCAATACATTTGCTAGCAAGCTAATTCTGTGAATTTAGTGGCACACGTTCATCAGTAAAGGTACCTATGGATTAATATTAAAGAAAATAACAATTGAGAATTAATTTAGTTTTCCCTCAACTCATAAAACTATAGCAGAAAGGAGGGAGATGTTGGTTTTCTGATACAGAAGCAAAATGAATTGTACATTTCAAAGATACCCTGCTAAACAAAAACAAAACAAAACAAAAAATTATCTGAGTTGAGGAAAAAGACAGCCCCCCACTCCGTAAGGATTAACAATTTATCTACTCTAAAATCTGATTTAGATAGCAATCCAGGGACTCCTTTACTTTTATTTGGTTGACTGGATTCTGTGGTCTCCACTTCTGACAATTTATTGCATGCTTCCTCAGTGCCAAATTACCTGAGAGAGAGAGAGAGATAGAGAGAGAGAGAGAGAGAGAGAGAGAGAGAGAGAGAGAGAGAGAGAGAGAGAAGATATCAGAAATTGGTAAAAAGGGTCACTTCCTGGATTAAATAGGGAACAAACAAAATTGGCTATTGCATTTGCACAAAAAAGTTCTTCATGAAAATACCTATTCATTATTTTAATATTTGCCTCCTTCATGATTTTTTTAGGTTCATGGACTAGCCCACTAGCAAAAAGATGGTATTAATTACCTGTTATCTTTCAAAAGAACTTTTAGAAAATACCGTGTTTCCCTGAAAATAAGACCCTGTCTTATAGTTTTCTGAACCCCAAAATAAGCGCTTGGCCTTATTTTTGGGGAGATCTTATTATTTTGGGGCACGTGGAACAAGATTGAGCTCCTCTTGCCGTCTTGCCTGATTTCCAGCTCTGCATTTAAATATTTTGGGCTTATTTTCGGGGGGAAGCTTATTTTAGTACATGCACTCAAAAGCCCGATTGGGCTTATTATCAGGGGAAGCCTTATTTTCGGGTAAACAGGTAAGAATGATTCCCAGACTTTTTGTTGTACATACAGTACTTTCTGGGTCCTTTTTAGATGACAAAAAGAACACAATGGTGTGTCTTTAGTGTTTTCTAGTCCATCTTTTGTCATTCTGATGCTTGTTTGAATTTTTATTATAGGCTTTATATTACTTGGCTTTCAGGATGCTGACTTCCAAAAATGCTGGAAAGGTAACTAAACATTTCTCACAATTAAAAATAACATCTTGTGAACAATGGAAGATATAATCTGGCCTTCAAAATACATAAATTGTCCAGCTTTTCCTTATTTTCCTTTTAATTAAGAAAAAAATCCCAGATAATTGGAAGATTCTGAGAAGATGGAACATATATTTTGCATTTGTTCTTTTAATATTATTGTATAAATCGAATTTCTGAAGATCCAATTTGTTTTCAGTGGAACTTCCAAAGCCTTACACACGTGGCTAAGATGGCTTAGCCTGATTAGAAAGTACTGTACAATTTCCAAATAGCCTAGTGTGACATGCAATAAATGACAAACCAGTCTTAGACCCCATGAAAGGTTCAGGAAACAGTGCATGGAAGCAATCCATGGGGAAAATGAGAAAAGTATTTTATAGAGCTGTTGTCACCTTTCTGAGCTGCGAGACATAAGAAGCTCATTCTCTTAAGGAGCTCAGGACACATTCCATCGGGCAAGAAATGTGTACAACTGCAACCCTTAAAAAAGACACACAAAAGACAGTACTCAGAACTGTTTCTAAGGGCCAGCTCAATTTCTGTCTCTTCTTCCAGTTTCTCAGAGAACAAGATCTCTGAGATTATAGTTGGATAATGGGTGAAAACTGCTCTTTCACCAAATGTGTATTTTCTAATCACCAAAAGTTGTATTGACAAATATGCTCTCATGTATAATTTGGGGTAAGAAACTGAAGAAGCAAATGAAAAGTATATTGGTTATCTTTTAAAAATACTAAAAAGTAAAAAGCAAATAAAACAACGACCCCCATTTAAATGTCCCTATTTGAAAATGCTAGTTCTGCCACCCAAAGTGATGATGGCACCTGCACAACTTCATCTAGTACACCAATTGTTCTCCTTTCCTAGGTTGGTGGGCCCTTCACTCATGCCCTGGACATCTCACAACTGCCCTTGAACATCATCTGAAAACTTCAAATAGTATAGAATGTAGTGGCATGGCCAATGATTGACATATCTTGGTATGTATTGTGAGTTGCATTGGTTGCCAATTTACTTCCAGGTGTGATTTGATGGGTGATACTTCCTATAAAATCCTACATGGCATAGGGCCCTAATAGTTTGGTTACATGAGAGATCTCCTATCTCACATACATCTGCCCAACTGATCTGATCTGGCAATATTCACCCACTCCAGTATCCTTCAGTTAAATCATTCTACATATCAGGATCCTGAAAGCACGTGCCCTCTTGAATGAGATTTGAACACCCCAATCCCATCTTTTACTAGTATTTTGAAAAGCACTGAAGGTCAGGCTCTTCATCCAGGCCTTTGGTGAGTATGAACAAAGACCTACTCTTTCTTTCTTTTCTTTTTTCCCATCTGGTTTTGTTATCCCTACCATTTTTGCTCTTTTTCTGTCTTGTCTTATCTTGTTTTCTTATTCTAAATGTTTTTAACAGTTTTTAAACTGTTCAAAGTTGCAAAATTCCAAATATTAAAATTATTTAACTCCAAATGTGTTGTCCTTGCATTCTTTCCATAAAGTCAGAAGTTATGTAGGTCAAGGCTTCTATAATCCAGGGATTCCCTATAGATAGAAAAAGCATATACAATACTTCCATAGCATTATGAAAGCTATGCTGATTACTGAAATAATTAACGATTTGCATTTTTCAGTCTGTCCTCATAAATGCATTAAAATCAACAAATATTACAGTGTTTCCTCAAAAATAAGACCCTGTCTTATATTTTTTTGAACCCTAAAATAAGTGCTTGGCCTTATTTTTGGGGAGGTCTTATTGTGGAGCAAGATGAGGCTCCTCTTGCTGTTTTACCTGATTTCTAGCTCTGCATTTAAGTATTTTCGGGGAGGGCTTATTTTCAGGAGGAGGCTTCCTTTAGTGCATGCATTCAAAAGCCCAATTGGTCTTATTATCAGGGGAAATTTTCGGGGAAACAGGGTAAATCCTGCTGTCTTATTTTTATATGGTATGATGTAGCAGTCATATTTCCTAATGGAAACAGATCTCTGAGGATCAGGGAATACATCTGGGTTTTGAGCTTGCAGAGAGCTAACTAAAGATGTCCAACACAAGACTCATCTTTGTATTTTATAACCATAAGAACAGCTTTGCTGAATAAGATTAAATCCCCATCCACATCACAAAAAATTGAGCTGCCCCAGATGCATCTGAGAAACATCCAGGAGAGGAGGTTGACAAGAATTTTTCTCTATTTCTATCAAGCTGCCTTAGATTTCAAGCCCACTTCTTAGCATTACAGCCAATTTCTGTCACAATACACAGCCTTGTAAGAACCTGGACAATGACTTGTCACCTTATTTTATTTTTCTATATATTATGCACAAATAAATCTTTTGACTTCATTTAATCCCTATCATGAAAAATGATTCATCTGCTTAGAGCAGCATAGCGAGATTGCAATTAAAATCAGAGGAGCAGGACCAATCAAAGAAATGGCAATCCTGACTGGTTATGTTCAAGGAAGCATGCTTAGTGCCTGCAGATTAATGGCAAAATATATGATTTATTTCCCTTAGGTAATTTTATTCATTAGATTTATATCCCACCTTTTCTGCAAGAGTTCAAAGTGGAGTATATTGTGAAGTCATACAGCCTTCAAATTTACTCCCATAACAGTATCATATGAGGTAGGTATGACTGAGAGATAATTACTATACTATATTCACCCAGTACAGATAATCCTCATTTAACTAAATCAGCTGAAGAAGCTTTTTTTTTTTACTTCAAATTTATACAGAAGCTTCTTGAATGAGAAGCGAAACGTCTTCAAAGAAAAACCAGAAAGTCCAGTTGCTACTTGAAAAAGCACCTATGGGACAACCATGATATGGATGACTGAGAATCTCCATAGACGTCGTTTAACAACTTGAATTGGGACTGGAATTTTCATCATTAAGCAAAAAGTTTGTAGGCTGAATTATGTGATTATATCATTTAGCAATGGGAATTCTGGTAATCCTGAATGCAATAATTAGGCCAGGACTGTACTGTTATTTCATCACAATTTCATGCTTCTCTTGTTCTGCCATGCTCAACTCTGCTTCAACTCCTCCCTCGCCTACCTTCCCCCCTCCCCCATGTCTACGCTTTGGCTGCCTTGCATTTTGCTGCTTACCACTTTTGCCCCAGTTGACCTTCGCTGTCTTCCTCCTGCTGCTGCAAGGGAGTTGCTGGCCCTTTGTGAGGCCCTCAGGTGGCCTCCATAAAGCCTCCATGCAGAGGAGAGAAGGCTATAGATGGGTGAGGGGCAGTGGTGGGTTTCAAATTTTTTTAGTACTGGTTCTGTGGTTGTGGCTTGGTGGGTGTGGCTTGGTGGGCATGGCAGGGGAAGGATACTGTAAAATCTCTATTCCCACCCCACTCCAGGGGAAGGCTACTGCAAAATGCCCATTTCCTCCTGATCAGCTGGGACTTGGGAGGGAGAGAATAGATGGAGGTGGGACCAGTCAGAATTTTTTCTACCGGTTCTCCGAACTACTCAAAATTTCCACTACCAGCTCTCCAGAACTGGTCAGAACCTGCTGAAACCTACCTATGGTGGGGGCGAATTGAAGTGCACACTATGTGGACTGACCGCCAAATGCCTGAATTTTGATCACATGACTTTGGGGCCACTGCAACATCTATTAACTTTGAGGACTGGTTGCAGCTATTATTCATTCAGTGCTGTTGTAACTTGAAACAGTTGCTGAACAATGGTTGTTAAGCGAGGACTATCTATACATTTTTGCTTGCTGTAATCCATCACCAGCGTTCACTACTGATTGTGCATTAGTAGAATGTCCTTCAGAGAAGTATCGGGTTTGTGAGTCAATGGCTCAGGTTCAATCCTATCAATTCTAAATAGGACTTTTTTTTTAATGAGGCACTTCCCACCCGATCCTGAAAGATAGGCCTGAAATACTGGAAAATTAGAAACAGTGTGAACTATCCTTTCTCAATCTGATGCCTTTCAAATATATCAAATAATGATGAAGTACACCTTAATTCATCTGTAGGACATTGGATCAGGATCACTGAATCACATACAACAATGGCCAATTCAGAATAATCCCTCTTCTGATTTTTTTTAATCCTCTGAAAGTTGCAAGGATGTAATGATGGCTATAAAACGTATCAGTTTGATCCATATAGGAGATATTCCTAAGGGCAGGACCAGGGGTGAAATCCAGCAGGTTCTGACAGGAGAAAAGGTAGCGGAAATTTTGACTAGTTCAGAGAACTGGCAAATACCACTTCTGGCTGGCCCCAGAGTGGGGTGGGAGTGGAGATTTTGCAATATCCTTCCCGCAGGAGTGGGGAGGGAATGGGGATTTTGCAGTATCTTTCCCCTGCCATGCCCACCAAGCCATACTACGCCCAGCAAGTCACACCCACAGAACCGGTAGTAAAAAAAATTGGATTTCACCCCTGGGCAGGACAGTGAAAAATCACAGATAGGGAGCAGGGGCCTGGATAAGTAGGGTTGCCAGGTCTGCTTCCAAAAAATAGTGGACAAGTGGGGGGAGCAGGGGGTTAAGTAGTAAAAAAATTAAAAAATTTTTTACAATTAAATTATATATTTTCTTACAAACATTTTAACACGTATTAAAATAATCACTTCAAAACTTTACTTAAAATTCAAAACATCAAATATGTTATAATAATATGTAAAATATTAAATTACATTTTAATTTCATCATAAAGTTTTTGAATAAAAAAAATGTCCACTATTTTGTGAAAAAAAAATAGTGAACATAATGTGAAAAAAGCAGACTGTCCGCTCAAATAGTGGACACCTGGCAACATTATGGATAAGGCCCCAATTACATGGCCTTCACTGATATTCCTGTATGGTGATTATCTTGGCTGATAGCTCCTTCTATGTAATCCCAAGAGGGAGCCACAAAATGGAAAGATAGCAAAGAATATCGGACTTAGAAAACACGGACTTATTACCTGTTTTGGTAAGAGGGTGGGTTGCTAACAGCCGAATCAAGTGATTCTGAGAGGATTGCAGGAGTAGTACAATATCAGCTGGCAAAGTATCTCTGTTTTTTGCTAAGAACCCATTTACATTATAAAGAACCTGAATGAAAATACAAAAGGTCAGGAACAGTTTATTCAATGCTATTTTTTCTTCTTTAACTGCTTCTCTGTTCTTGAATGAGAAAAACAGAAGGTTCTTCGGATATAAAATTGTATCTGCCAAAAATCAATAAATCATAAAAAAAATCATAAAAACCCCCAATAAGGTGATATTCAGCTACCATATGAATAGACTGATTCACTTTGGAAGGCATGGAAGGAATGTGATTACTGTAAGGTCAAGTAAAGGTTCCCCTCAAACATAGGTGCTAGTCGTTCCCGACTCTAGGGGGTGGTGCTCATCTCCGTTTCAAAGCCGAAGAGCCAGCGCTGTCTGAAGATGTCTCCATGGTCTTGTGGCCGGCATGAATAAACGTCAAAGGTGCACGGAACACTATTACCTTCCCACCAAAGGTGGTCCCCATTTTTCTACTTGTATTTTTTACGTGCTTTTGAACTGCTTGGCTGGCAGAAGCTGGGACAAGTAACGGGACCTCATCCCGTTACGCGGCACTAGGGATTCGAACTACTGAACTGCTGAACTTTTCGATCGACAAGCTCAGCATCTTAGCCACTGAGCCACCGCATCCCTATGTGATTACTGTACAGGTCTGCTATTCAACTGAGTAGGCAGTTAGAGGCCTGCTAGTTAAAAAAGATATATAATATACAATATATAAGGATACTGTAAATGTGTGAGGAGGAGAGCAGGCCGCACTCGCAGCAGAAGAGTATGTGTATATGGCAAAAGGCCCTACACACAGTACCCATGGCAACAAATATGTGCTTAAGGGTCTTCCTCAAGACTTGGAGACAGGTGTGCCTTGAGTTCACAGGGAAGATTTACAATTTGGTTCTTCCTCATGGACAGTGAACTTGGGGCTACTGGGAAGTGAAAAGTAACCAGTGTTAATAGTGGTCTTTGTTTGAAGAAGAACATGCACAAAAAGACATCCACTTTGATACAATTACAAGCAAACAGGTCAGTATTGTTGATCTACACATTCCAATGCAACTTTCTTCAAAAAGTTCTCAAATTATACTGGATTTCAATTAAAATCCAAATCATCTGGAGAATACTAGCTCAAGCAGACTGTTTAGCTTTAACACAGGCTGTTCCGATTGGTAAGTGTCCCTTATGCCAACTCAGCAAGAGCAGGATCATTATTCATATGAGAAGTAGCTCTAAGGCCTATGTGACCCATGAAGTTGAATATACCATGAATTCTTGGGCACATAAAGGCAGCCACAATAACAGTTTTGTATGAAATTGATCTCAGGCTCTAGGCATACGTGGCAATGCTGTTAAAAGAGCTGGTTTCCAACTTTATAAGCTATTATTTCTTTTTAATGACAGTATTACTTATAAATGCTTTAAAGAAGAAAGATTGTTGCATGTATGTTCTATGATCCTGGAGGAAGATTTTCTTTCTTTCTTTCTTTCTTTCTTTCTTTCTTTCTTTCTTTCTTTCTTTCTTTCTTTCTTCCTTCCTTCCTTCCTTCCTTCCTTCCTTTCTTTTTTCTTTCTCTTTTTTTCTTCCTTCCTTCCTGCCTGTCTTCCTGCCTGCCTGCCTCCCTTCCTTTTTTCTTTATCTCTCTCTTTTCTTTCTCTCTCTCTCTTACTCTTTCTCTCCTCCCTCTCTCTTACAGAGAGAGAACGAGAGAGAGAAAGAGAGAAAGAGGGAGAGATATAAGGTATAACTGTGTTGCACAGAGTAAATATTTGTAACCATTTATGGTGTAAAAAGCTGCTTAGACTTTTGTAATGTATTGAAACAAATTAGCCCATCCTGTTATAAAATAATCACATTAATAGAGAAAAATTATTCAGTCTTTTTACCTGCCCTGCATAATGGTAAATGCCAAATGTCAAATCAATTCTCTTTGGTCTCCAGAAATATTTGGATTTCAAATTGTCTTCAAACTTTTCTGTAAAGATAAACACTGCTCTTATAACATCACCAATATTACCTTAGCTTTTGTATCACTCATGTAAATATGCATTTAGAAATTTTAAAAATATTTTGGTGATATGAAAGAAAATTACTTTGGAAAGGATGCTCTGAACTTCCTTCTGCTCTGGGTTAAATAGAGGAAGACTTTATGGTTCTGCCTGATATTTCTGCTGAATAGCTTCTTGAAGCAAAAAAATATTAGCTTTACAGATACTATTAGCAGTGGGAATATTTTCACCCTGAAGGCATAAATGAAAACACTTCAGTGAGAAATCTGTGTAAAAATGGGTAAATCTATCAACTTCAGCTTTGCTCAGTTTGATGCTTTTTCAACCATGAATCTATTTTGTCTGCCTTTTTAAAAGAAGTCTATGTGTAAGTTTATACATGTAGTTTCATAGATATTTCTACTAAACTGTATCTCATTCTCACTTTTTGCTAATCTATGCATTTCTTTAGCAATTATGACTTTTTGTTAAGAATTTCCCCAATATACACATTTGGATATGTGTCTGTTTTCCAATCACACATTTTTGTAGGCATTTTGGACAAGACCCTGGCTATACTATACCATTCCTAACAGGGATAGAGTACCTACAACTTCTGAAGGCAAGCCATTTCGTGGTTAATTGTTTTAGGAAATTTCTCTTCAGTTCTAGATTGCTTATCTCCTTGATTAATTTCCATCTATTGTTTCTTGTCTTGCCTTCTGGTGCTTTGGAAAACAGGTTGATCCTCTCTTCTTTGTGGCTGCCTATTGGAATGATGCTATCATATCACCCCTACTCCTTCTTTTCACTAGACCAGACAAACCCAATTCCTGCAACTGTTTTTGATATATTTTAGCCTCCAGTTCCCTAATCCTGGTTGCCCTTTTCTGCATTCTTTCCAGCGTCTCTACATCATTTTTATAACATGGTGACCAAAACTGGATATAGTATTCCAAATGTGGTCTTACTAAGGCATTATAAAGTGATACTAATACTTCACACTATCTTGATTCTATCCCCTTTTAATGCAGCCTAGGATTGCATGGCTTTTTGGATGTTGCTGCATACTCCTAGCTCATATTTAAGTGATTGTCCATTAGGACTCCAAGATCCTTCTCGGTTACTGCTTGTGAGGCAGGTTTCACCTAATCTACATTTGGTTTTTCTTGCCTAAGTGTAAAACCTTACTTTTCTCTACACTGATTTTCATTTTGTAAGATGAGCCCAGTGTTCAAGTTTGTTGAGATCCATCTGGATTCTGAGCCTATCTTCTGGGCTGGTGACTAAGTGTGAATTAGGCAATTTTAAAATAATCTGCGAAACAATCCTATTTCTTTTTAAACCCTAAAAAAAAGCCAATATATCTTTATGTACAAGCTGCCAACAGCTTACCAACAAGCGTCTGATCAGTGGCTTGAGGAAAACTACTTTCTTCATCAAGAAGGGACAGTAATCCCATTGGCTTTTGTAGGAATATATCTAACAGTGGTTTGTTGTCCTCATACTCAATAATTCGTGCATCAATGCCTTCGTTCAGGTATTCATTCTGTAAGAAATTTAAAAAAAAGTGTTTTTCTGAAGTATTTTGTAAAGATACCCGGTGTATGTGAACAATAGGAAAAGCAGAGCAAATGGATTTAATAAAAGATTTAAGAACTATGGTCTGAACCTAAATTTCCAATCAAGCAGTAAATCCTTCTGTTGATTTTCCTGAGTACCAATCTGTGGCACAGTTGGGAACAGGCAGCCAACAATAGCCAGACGTTCCCTACTAAAATTTACGGAAACCACAGATATATGTCCCGCTTGTTTTCTTATCCCCTGCCCATCCCTGTTTTTAAAAATTCGACTAGATTACTCAGAGGAATAGGGAGTGGAGCGAGCCATGAAATTAATTTATATAATTTATTTAACCTTCATCATAATAATTGTCTTAATACTACCACAAAAGTTCTTAGAGGATCATGAAAAAATGCCGGGAATCAAATCAAACAATAATAAAATCCAGTAATAACTAATAACATGATAAGATCGCCAACATGATCGCAATGATGGATATGGCACAAGAAGAAGAAGTAATCACTAAATAAGCTGGTATTAATATTTTCATCCCTCTAACCACTATTTGCCTTTAGCACTGGTATGGTTAGAATGGTCATTATTATAAAGCTGTAAGGAATCTAATTTTGTTCCAATTTAAATGGTAAGTTTATAAAATATGAACTGAAAAGACGATGTGGACATGGGGTATTAAATCTTTAGCTAATAAAGCATCAGTTGACTTTCTCAACTGGAAGACAGTTGAGGTTCCTCATTTGGAATGAACTTGAAATCTGATAGAACAGAGTAGCACAGAAACCAACTAAAGCCCTCAAAACATCTTAAGCAAACTAAGATGCAGCAGCCTAAGAGAAAAAAAAAAGCACTAGTCATGTACAACATAAATTATTAAGGACAACAGCAGCCATTATATAGAATAGATAGGCAGGAGACTTGCAGAGTACATCTAGAATCACCAGCTAGCAGTCAGAGACACATTTAAAACTTCCACATTCCAAGTTTACTCAGAATCCAATTCAGTGATGGATTTTAATGACACTTCTTTCTCTAGGATAGAGGAATTTGGTAAATTTGGTTTGCATGACAAACAAGTATTGCATTACAAATGCTATGTCCCTGGCATTTGGCATCAGGGGTGGTTCTACTTACCTTTACTACCGGTTTGCAATGGGGCCGTGCGCATGCGCTCGCTTCGCTTGCGCATATGTGCACTCTTCTGCACGTGCACAGAAGCATTTTGATGATGTCAGGGTCAGTGGGCAGAGCCTCCTGCCGGTTTTACTACCAGTTCTATAGAACTGGTGCAAACCGGGGGCAACCCATCACTGCTTGGCATATTCCATTCAGAAATAAAAACGGTTGCCCAGCCCTTTCCAAAGAATTAAGGGAAAACTCATTAAAAAGAATGTTAGAATAATCCTAACTGGATCAGGTCAAATTTTCATTCAGAATTTTGTTTCTTACACCAAATATCTCTGAGATGCTTCTAAGCTGGAGATGTGACATTTCCTCCTACCATAGTTGTTTCCCTACAATTTATATCTGGAGGTATCCTGCACCCAATATAGAGGTAACATTGAGTCTTCAAGACTATTTGACCTTTGGTTATAAATCTCTCTTCCGTGAATTTATCCTATTTATCCTTTTTAAAGTCATCCAATTTAGTAGTTCTCAAAACATATTGTGACAATGAATTCCATGAATGAATTCCATAGATCACTTATGTACTCTATGGAGAAGATGAGACTTGAAATCCAATAGAAAAGAGTAGCATACAAACCAACTAAAACCTTCCAAAACATCTTAAGTAAACCTAAGACTAGGCAAGGCTGGCCTTCAAAGCGTTATCAAGAATAACTCCAAACTGTTCAGAATGGCACAGGAAAAAATTAAGTCTGGTGCCAAAGATCAAATTGACAAATTGTCCCAAAACTTGGCATTTCTCTATAAACTTTCTATTCCTGTTTTCTGCTTTCATGACTTTCTCACTTTCAACAGAACCTGTTGAATAGCATCCTTGAAGCAAAGGACATGTACTGGAAAAACAAAATAGTAGCCATGCCATTTGTGCTTTCTGAGAGAGAAGTAAGAAAATCCAGGAGTCCTGGTCCCTGCACATCAAGCCATATTCCTGACATAGCACAGCAGAAGGAATTTGGAGGAAGTTTGTATCTAATAATATGCTCATGGAGCAAGTCCTCAATGAGAAATTGGTAATATATTCTTGAATTCAGGACAGGGACAGAGCAGCACTTGTTTGCCTCCCATTTCAAACTGTGGAGCCCTAAGAAGAATTACAAAGCTGTCATTGAAATTACTGGGTAACAACACTCAACTTAAGGGCCGAAAATGCATTGTAACATTTTTTCTACACTATGAATAAATCAGGTGCATCCATTTGGGGTTTCTGTAACATTTGTTCTTTCTCTCCAATGAAGAAAGCAAATATTCCAAAGCAAATATCCCAAACACTGTTTTAATGCTCACAGCTGAATGTTCTTCTTTCATAAACTCCACAAGTCTGTTTACTGACCCATCAAGTTTACCCATTTTCAGTAATTGTACCATTTTGTTTTATCTCCATCTTAAAAATCAAATACATTCTACTATTATTTTAAATTATCCATCTTTCACAGTAGTGGGTTCCACTTACCTTCGCTACAGGTTCAGAACTGGGAGCGCATGCACTCTTGCTTCGTTCATGCGCAGCGCTTCTGTGTATGCACAGAGCATCCGTGATGACGTCCAGGAGGGTGGGTGGAGCTTCCTGCCCAGGGGTGAGTTCTACTTACCTTTACTACTGGTTTGCAATGGACACATGTGCAGATTGCCTATGACGACATCCAGAGCGGTGGGCGGAGCCTCCCACTGGTTTTACTACCAGTTCTTGCAAACAGGTCTGAACCGGGGCACTGCTCCCACCCCCTCCACTACCGGTTTGCGGCAAACCAGTAGAAACCCACCACTGATCTTTCAAATTAACATGGGATATTTCCTACATGAAATAAAACTGCAAATTCCTACTCCCAATTGGATTCATAGTTAATATGCTTGCTGGCAAATTAATAACACAGTCGCTTTTATATAAAGAATTGCTCAGTGTGCTGTCCATTTTTATTTTTATTTTTGCTCTTGAACCATAAATTATACTGTACGCTTTATTCCACATCAAAACAAAATTGTATTTGCACCAAACCTATTATCACTTCATTCTGTTGCCTGGATACTCTAAATGAGAAGCTTAATGCATTTTCAGATGGACATTTAACTTGTGGAAAGTAATCAAACAATTGTGCACAGAACACACACACAAACACACACCCTTCTTCCAATTCTACTTTTTTTTTCCTCTTCAAGGAAGCCAAGATTACCTTTGCTAGATAAAAATATATGAATTCAGAAATTATCAAGTTCTTTCTTTCAGTTTCTTTCTCTGCCTGCTTACACTACAAAATTTGCACAATTGCTTCTTAATGAGAAACAGTCTGTGCTCCTCATATACTGACCATCCCACTTTTTCCACATTCTGAGCCACATGTTGCTGATCAGTGGTGGGTTGCTCCCGGTTCGGTCCGGTTCTATAGAACCGGTAGTAAAACCGGCAGGAGGCTCCGCCCACCCGCTACGATGTCATCATGGATGATCTGCGTATGTGCAAAAGCACTCGTGTGCTCCCATTGCGAACCGGTAGTAAAGGTAAGTAGAACCCACCCCTGTTGCTGATAGCATATTCAGGTTATAGCATGTTCAGCACATCTGGCTCAACATACTTTAACCTCAGCATGGTTTTGGCCTGGGCATGTGTAGGCCCCTTTCTCTCATTTGCTGCATGAGTGACAGATTGGAAGCTTCATTGTTCCTGATTGGTTCCTCAATAGTAAATGAAAACTATTCATCTCGACATCCCTGTTGAGATCTTCTCTTCTTTATATGCTTTTAAAAAGCAGCCCTACCCTCCTACCTTTTCATCTAGTTTTTAGCAAATGTTTCTGCTTTGTTTCTTTTTCTGCTATTTTGAAACTGAAAAGTTGTTTTTGTTTTTAAAGCTCATCTGGCTTATGACAACCATGTCCCAACCTTCATTTGGATATGGAAAATATCCAGTGGTCCCTCAACTAAAATTTTCCTCAGCAGCATGAACTGAGTTTCCAAGTCCTTCAATAGCTCCTAGAACATCACAAATGGAGAAAAGTATATTTGTATGCATATGCATGTAAGCATGCCTACCTGTTCCCATGCAAAGATATTTTGATTGAAGTAAAACTGAATCTGTTCGTTGGCAATATTGATACAGAGCTGCTCAAAAGAATTTTTTTTGAAGTTTTCAAAACCAAAGATATCAAGAATTCCAATGTTTAGTCCTTTATCGCTTCCACTGAAAATACAAAAGCTTTGTATTACATTCCAGTCTCATTTAGTTGTTTCATTTCAACTTCACAAAAAGATCTTTAAAATGCTTAGGAATTATGCTAGGCAGAAATTGGTAGAGTCTAATGTCCAGAATTCTGGAACGGCTGTTTATCAAATGCTAAATATCCCAACTGCACGAATTAATTTCTGAAAACAAAGGGACAACAGAAACAATTGTTCTGTTGTCAGAGCTCTTGGACAAAGCATATATGACACATAAATATTTGTATATCATGTGAGAAACTTGTATTGTTTTCCATTTTTGTTTTGGGTTTTATTTATTTAAACAAAATAAATAGAAAAGAAAAAAGAAGGAAAAAAATATTAAGAATATGCATATACTTAATATTTTTTATATAAATACACTGAAACTTTTGAAAGCTCTGAATGGAAGAAAATGACTATGCCTGTCCCCTTTATAAGACATTCCATACTGATCTTCAATTCATAAAGTCATCTCAATTCACAGAGAGGTGGAGGGAATCTTACCTTAAACCTATAGTTGGTTTGAGCAGGATGTTAATATGATTGACTATCCAACTAAAGAGCCACCCATACAATGCTTTGGCTGTAGCGTCTCTCACATCAATAGCTTTTTCCATTGTGTTGGGTCGTATAATTGTTTCCCCTCGGGTAACCACACAATGAGAGGTTAGGGCTTCTTGCAACTTATTTGCTTGGATAAATAACAAGGAAGCAGCTAGAAATCAAATAAATTGTGTTATTTTCATATTTCCATAGATGTGTTCAGAAAGTTCAGGCCTGTTACTTAGTTTTGTATAAGTACTTTTTCTAAAGCACTCTTCAGTAAACACAAGTAAACTTGTGCTTCCTATTTTTATTCAATATTATAAGGAAGGGAGTTTTTCAAATGAAAGGAAGAAAATTGCCCCACAGAAAGTACAAAGAAATATGAATAAATAATAAACAGAATAAAATTACCCAATATGTTAACAACAAATTTCGTTCCCTGGAATACTAATTTTTATATAGCCAAAAGACACTCTCCACCCCACATGAGAAAGGTCTCAGCAAGACATTAAGATCTGCAGAAATAGAAAAATATTTTAACCGAATGAGGACTGAGTATGTCCTTTTTGACATAACCTTTTTTTCCCCTTTTGGCTTGTCTTCCCTCATTTTTAACACTTCTTTTTCCCTAAGCAGAAAACTGCAATGAAAGAATTACACTACTTATTAAAATGTCTGGAGTAATTGCCTGCTACTTTCAGCCCTGGGTTTACAGCTTGCCTAATCTACATCAAATCTTTTATGGTTTCACAATGCAATGCCATGCAAGCTTTTCACTAGGATTTGAAGCTTTCTCTTAAGTATACATGACACTGTAGACTTTTCCCTTTTTTTCTAAATGGCTACACTAATGTTATTAGACATAGTATCTCAACAGAAAACATTGAGGTTGAATGTCATCAGGGGAAACCTCATTACACTTGTAGACATCCACAAGGTTAATGTGGCCAAACCGGGCTCCCACTTGTTGACAAGGTCAATAAGATTGGATTTAGGTCTTGAAGAATTTTATCAATAGTATTCTGCTATGTTCATATTGCTTCAGATTTCGTAATGTACAAGACAGCTGAATAAGGCCGTAATCCTATATGTCAGATATAAGAAACTGGCATTCTCCAGATGCTTTTGCTTCAAATGCTGCAATCTCTGAACACTGATCATTTTGGCAAAGATCATAAGAGTTAAAGATGAAAATATTTGGAGGTTCCAAATTACAATGCGTGATATGCAGTCTTCCCTGAAAGCAAGCCCTACAAGCAAGACACACATTGCCGATCTATTTTAAAAAATAAGAATAACTCACAATTCTCCAGAGGCATTGGACTGGAAATTACGCTCTTGTCAATCATGTACTCGGTTACCTCTGATGAAAATTCAATGTTACCCACATTTAAAATGGCAGCAAGTACACAATATACACACTCTAGTTCCTGAAAAATAAGTGTACAAAAGCATTCCAATTCAGTCTTAAAACAGGCAGAACAGGGAACGATCAGTTAATATTGATTTTGCGCTTAATGAAAAATCAGCCTTCTCTAATAGCTGCATCTCTTTCACTTCACCTTAATCTTAACCACATGGATGACATTGGAATATTAAAAATGTAGGGTTATCCAGGTAAACCTTCAGAGTTAAAGGAATTAGGATGACTTTTTGACAGATCTCTTTCTTAGTCCTCCCTTTATGTTGGACTGAAATTCCCACCCTGGCTTCTTCTGGCTATTTTGAACTTCAATGTAATTCTGAACCTTGCCATTACTCATGCTTATAATAATACACCTCATTTAGTTGATTTGTATGAAATAAACCCACAGAAGAAAATTGACTTCAGTCTCTCTCTCTCTTATTCTGTAATTGGATTTTTGTTTACTGAAAGCTAGTTCTTGATGCTGCAACAGTAAATGACAAGTAGAGGAGAAAGTTATTTATTTTTTTAAAATTACATGTAAATCTTAATCTAGCCCAAGTTTGCATCCTGCCTAAGTACAACTTCTAAGCATAATAATGTGTTTGGTTATACCTTATCATGGGAACCCAATGTATAATGTATTTTGCCTTTTTTTTTTTTTGCACTGTGCAATATACAGTAGGTGTTTAACTAAAATAGCCATTTAGCCATTGTATTTATTTTCTAAATTATTGCAGGATTGACTGAAATTATTACGCCAATTTTGGTCATCTCACAGTAACATATATATTGCAGCTGAAATCTTGGGGCTAGTCTCCTATTACATTAAATATGGTCAATCTAATTTGTATGGCATAAATGCCATTTATTTCCAGCATCACTCCCCCTGCCTCCAACCCCCCACTTTTAATTGGGTTTGCCACATAACTTTTAGTCTGATTTTATGCTGCAAAGTGACATCTAGCCTTCAAATGTATTTATTAGTGGAACACACTGCTTCCCTGTGAAAAACAAAATGTTTTCTTTAAATAGTCAGATTAGTATGTCTGTTGTAATCCATGTTGGATGTTTTCTAAACACAGTAGAATTTTGGATTTGACGGTTACATTTTTGCAGATGTTACCTTTCTGGTACTGGGCATTTCTGTTTATTTTCACCTAGTTAAAGTAGGGCTGTCAATGGAGACATAATATTTGTAAATATCTTAAAAATTCAAGGGGATTTTGTAAATGGGAAAATAAAAACAGAATCTGAAATGTTCTGTTAAGGCATACTCATCCCACCTTCTTATTTTTTCAAAACTAATGTGAATTGATGCCGAAGTAAAATAATTAGAACTATGGTAGTACAATTACTGTATATAATTCTAAATTCTTGCGGCAACTATTTGATAAATAAAGGTTAGGTTAAACACTATGAGAAGATTAAGAGTCTGAAAAGATACTTATTGATTTTTTGAGATTTTGTATTGCACCCAATAGATTTCAACAATGATAAATATAATTAGACCAAAAAAAAGTCAAGTCGAGTTGATTTTATATCTGTTTACAACTCTAGGATTTATTTATTTAGGTCCCACTTTCATGTTTCATAAAGAAGTCTCACCCTCTTCATTACCTTTCTACTTAAGAGCCTGTTTGATCTGGAAGAAGCTAGTGATCAAGTACCTTCAACTATCATGCTTGCAATATTTATTACTCAGTTGTTCTTTTTTTCTTTTCTTGGTTTAATGGTGGGTAAGTGAGTAAGAGATCACAAAAAGAGATACACGAACACGGATTCCCTGTGTATTCAACTCTTAACTCTTGGGATAACTTTTGTTCATGAGCCATGTGTCAATATTTATCTCCTAAGCATAGATGGTCTTAGAAAACTATAAAAGTTCCAACATCCTTGAAAAGGCATGATCAGGGAAGGTTTTATGTGTTTTATCAATCAAAAATCAAATGTGTTTTATTCAGTAACCCCAGAATATTTTCGAGATCAATATGCAAAATTCTATAATCTTCTTCCTTCTTGATATACTGGTTGAAATTTCTAAAATTCAAAATAACCCAGCCAAATAATGCATGCCAAAAAATGGATACAAGGCCTGGAATTCAGAAATATCAATATTGTGGGTAAATAGTGATTAAGGCACTAGGCTAGAAACCAGGAAAGTGAGTTCTAGTCCCACCTTAGGTAAGAAAATTCTTTTTCAACAGGTTTGTTGTAGTGATGGAAGAGAAAGGAGGGAGGAATATTGTATGGGTTTGCCACCTTGAGTTATTGATAAAAATAACAAAGGCATGATAGGTAAAGATTTCCTGCCCAATAGTTTCTGACTCTAGGGGTAGCACTCATCTCCATTTCTTAGCCGAGGCAGCTAGAAGTATTGTTTACTTCTTGATTGCTGGTTTAATTATAATCTTGGAATTAATCTATGCACATTTGGGTTGCTGATGAGGAGGTGTTTTGTCATTTTGCTCCCTTTTTGGTTTGTTGATTGTCTCCTTTACACAGTATGTAGATATTATTTATATCTATGTGTCTATTGATGGCTAATTTGTCAGAATATCAGCCTTATTTCCAGCTAATTAAATATTTTTTGTTAAATAATCCAATTAAATATTTCCAGCCAATTACCTACCTCCATTGTAAAGCCAATCACTTTGAAGCACTGCTCAATCGATGCAAATTTGGATTTATAAAAAGTATTGTTCAGGACCTCTTGCACTGGTGTCAGAAGTTCATTTTGTAGATAACTAATTAAATGGTGGGAAAAAAAGTGAAATTTTTCACACGGAAAATCAATACAAGGCATGTCAGGGTTTTTTCAGTTTAAATTAACTTCAAAAAAATTGTTTGAGAATTTAAGGAACTATTAGAGCAAGAAAATACAAAGGTTTTTGTTTTGTTTTTTTTACCTTGGGAGTTCATTTTCTGGCAATTTATAATGAGCTAATCTATTCTTTTCTGCCAATCCAGCAAAGATGTAATAGAAAATATGAAAATTCTTCTCCCCACTGAAACAAAGCAAGCAAACAAATTACTGTGCTGTAGCTGCTAAAATAAAACCTAAGAATTCCTATTTTATCTGTTTGTTCCTCTTTTGAAATTCATATTGCATTTTAAACATTTAAACTCTTTCTAAACATTAAGATTTATTTTCATACTTTAGGAAGGGATTAAAGCAAAGTGTTTACACGCTGATAAAATATAAGAACAGACCTGATCTGGAAGCAGATTAAAATTGAGAAAAATAATCTCTTGCCTAGTTTATACACTTGTTAAATTTGTAACACTATTTATATGTTACACTTGCATGTTTTAGTGATCTCCTTTAGCATGTTTAACAAAAAAAAACATGTGAATCAGGCAGTTTAGGGTGAATGGTTGATCACCCTTGCCTGCTATTTAAGCCCATCCCACATTTATCAATTTACTCATGATTGTACTTAGATAGAGTGCATACAAGTCATATGCATCAGAGATGGTATTCAGCCGGTTCGCATTGGTTCATGCGAACCATTGACGGAAATTTGGCCAAGGCCGCTGAACCGGTAGCGATGGCCAACTGGCCATGCCCCTAAACTGGTGCCCCAGTTGCCATTCGCTCACTCTGCCCGCTATGTTTGTCGCCGCCATGTTCTTTGCACACATGCATCCCATTGCCTTGCAAGTCCAATGGGATGCGCATGTGTGAAGAACATGGCAGTGACTGCAGAAGCTTTTTCGGTGATCTCCGGTACTTTTCGGTGGCCTGCGACCAGCCGTCACAGCCACAAAGCAACTCTCAAAGAGGTTTCTTTGCCAGCTGCTTTCCAGCAGCGGTGGCTGGCTGGGGGCCAGCAAAAACTGTGGTCAGCTTGCCTTCTGGACTCTGGACCAGCTGCGGAAGGTAAGCAGCCTGAACAAAGAGGCGGGGGGGGAGGAAGCAGGGCTAGGGCTGGGACTGTTAAAGGAGGAGAAATGGGGATGACTGGCGAAGGGATGGTGGTGGTAGAGAGGTGGAGATTCCAAAAAATTTCCTACCTTTTCCTGTGGGCATGGCTAGATGGAGGGGTCATGTGATTGAGTGGGCATGGGCATGAGTGATATCAAGTTGGCCATGCACACTCAGTCACATGCCCCCCACCTAGCCACGCCCACCAAACCAGTAGTTAAAATTTTTGAAACCCAACTCTGATATGCATGTTTATTAGATCATATAAAATATAGGATATGAATACATAGTTCATATATTATATTAATGCAAGTCATGTCAAGGTTTTGTGCAAATGCTGTATCTAATCCCACCCCATGTCCATACCATTTATCTAATCCCACCCCATGTCCATACCATTTGAATTCATCTCTATGAAATAAAGAAATAAAATGCTTTTATTTGAACCAAAACTTTATTCTAAATATCCCTGTTTTCCTTTTGGGTAAAATGTTCTTTTCCTTTCACTTACCCAGCTTGACATATGACTCTAGACTTTTCTAGAAGATATTCTGAAATCTGAGCGCTTACAACAGTTCCTTTAGAAGTGAATTTCATTTCCAGATATTTCCCAAATCTGCTAGAATTATCATTAATAATAGTGGCTGCATTTCCAAAGGCTTCCAAGAGATTGTTGACTTGAATAATTTTTCCTTGAAGAGTCTTGTTATTAGCCTAAGTAAACATTTTAAAAATTAGAAACCATTTAAAAACTCATCTTCTTAGGTTATATACAAAATACATGCTTTACCAACAGAAGAAAATATTTGTAGTCCAGGTTGAATTGTGGAGTCCTTGGTGCTCTCTGAGCTTGATTGTTTTCTTGCAGATGTTTACCCAAACTAGGTAATATCTTTAGTGTTAGAAGGGAGTGTCGTTCGTTTTTTTCTAATATAGAAAATTTTTTTGGCGAATTTTATTTAATTACCATTATACCACAAATAACTGGTATGTAATTGTCAGTTTAATTGTGATAGCTTAGATAATTGTGGGCTCACATTTTAATTCCCCGATGGGAACACATTTATTTGAACCCATCTCCACCCAATACAGGCTTTGACAAATAGCCTGTATAAGAGTTCCTAATTTCCCAGCCTACTAAAGAATAAGTCGAGATCATTTGGCATAGAAACTGTTTGAGAGATAAATTGACCCCTTAAAGTTTTTAAAATCTGTCTTACCTTTCCAAGGATTGTCAACTGTTGAACTAGAAGATGAGAACTTTGAGTCTTCCCAGCTCCACTTTCTCCAGAAATGACAATACACTGAAATTAAGAGTCAGGCATATTTTATAATTAATGTTCTATGCAATCAAAATGGGCATTCATTTTGGCCTTGGAATTAGGGATCTGTAGTGATTTGGCTCAAAAGCAAATGATGAATGAATGAATGAATGAATGAATGTTTGCCTTGGAGAGGGATTGGGCAGAGGTTGCATGATGCCTATGCCAGCGTTTCTTAATCTTGGCATCTTTAAGAACTCCCAGAATTGCTTCAAATCTTAAAGTTGCCAGAGCTGAAAAACACTTTTTTCAACATTCTTTTTCTGCTTTGGATTTAATTGCTGCCCATTTCTACTTAGAATTATTAGCATTACCCGATCTGACCCATAGGTGACCATTGATTGATATGCAGTATCAGCCATAGCAAAAATATGTGGAGGATTGCGAGTCCTTTTGGCCCCCATGTACAATCTGGAATGCTGATAGAAAGAAAAGATAAATATTATGTATTCTATTGGTTAAAAGAAACCTGATAAATCAAAATACTATTACAATGAGAAATATTTGCTACAACATGTCACATTTTTAATAGCCTGACTCCTGGGATAAAGCATTTCTCAATTTAATTTCTCAATTTGTCGTTTCCAGTTTTGAGTGGCAATGAGTATCAATACTAATACATTAACTAATCTGAAACACTAATTTGTTTAATTATAACACTCAGATTTTCTGTTTTATTTTCTCTGTGTCCTCTTCAACTATTACTATAGTGAAGAATAGAAAATGACACAGATATAACTTGGCAAGTTCAACCTCTTTTTAATTCCGTTCTTGCTTCCAACAAACTAAGCAAACACCCCAAGGAAATTTCTGTGGACATGGAAACAAGCCATGACCCCTGCAATGTATAGTAAGCAAAAAGCATTTCCCTTTAAGATGCTTCACTGCTCAGTGCCCAAATTCTGACCTTTCCAAATTCCCTTCAAAATAACTAATCTAATTTTCCCACCTTTGTAGAGTAAAGATCTAAATTCCGAAAAGGGTTTACTGCAATGAGGATATCTCCCACATAAGTGTAGATCTGACCTCGGGCGTAGCTCTTCTCAAGTTGCTCTGTTATTGTATTCTGTTTGAAATTGAGAGAAAGAGGAAGAAAAATCCTAGTTACATTTCTTTTTTAAAAAGGAGTACCTATACTGAAGAGAGATTAAGAAGAAGATATATTAGATTTCTTTAACTATGATACCAATATTCTTAATTTTGAATTCTACCTGCATGATAACCTTTTGGATCCATAAGTCTTCATCATCAGCAACCCATCAGTAGAACAAAATGTCAAACAATGGCTCTGGGAGATTTCCAATTACCAAGCTTCTGATCTATCAATGAGATCTAACTCCGTACTTATTCAGATTCTCTGCTGTGCAGTGGCTATCTGAAATCTTGGTTCTTTCCTAACTTATTATTTTGAAACATTTAATTTGAGATACCGGGGATTGAATCTTATGAGACATTTAGCATACAAACCTATGGATGATTCGAGTCAGACTACTATTCTTTAAGGACTCATATCTTATACTGCAATATGAAGTGAGAGTTGATCTTAGTGTAACTTTACCACTATAAGATTTTTATGGTTCCAAATATTGGGAAAAGTTACTTTTTCCTCCTCTATTCTTTTTGGTGGGCAAACTTTAATCTCAGGGCTAAAATGACATCATAGATGCAGAAAATGTTCATCATATTTTTGTGTAGCCAATTAAAAGCTTTTTCCATGTTACCCCTGAGAATGTTGGACTCCTACAAATTTTTTTTATCCTTTATTTTTTTATCTTTTTATCCTTTATCCAGTTTATTTCATGAACTGGATTCTGGCTTTAGATGTGATTTATATAGTTGATTCAAAGCAATATTATCAAGCTTGAGACAGAGGGAGAAAACAAAACTTGGGGCTATGGATTGTGCTCATAATATCCAGCTACAGTGATGAATAGATATATTAATTTTATTTCTGTCAGTTTTTCATTTTTATCAATCTGTCAGATTCTGCCTCTTGAACTTTCTGTTGTTGCTTTTTAAATTCACAGTAATATATGGATTTTGATGTGCATGATTCCAAACATAGTTTTGGTTGCAATACTGTCTGATATAAATAGTACACTGATTTAATGAATACATGCATTTTTAAATAATGTACTGTTGTACATTTGAAGAAATACTACTTACTATTGTATATTTGTTAATAGACAAATGAAGTTTATTAAAGTCACTTGTTTTGGTTTGTATATTAGTTCTAAGATTCAGTGACTCTCTTTCAATGCTGTCTAGCCTTAATCTAAGCACAGCAAAAAGCAGGTAGGCTTCAAAGAAAGACATACTGTAGAAAACAGTTAAGGGTGATTATTTGTTTAAAGCATGCATATTATTGCAATTTAGAACATTCCTAACAAAATAAAAATATCTTACCTCATCTAATATTTCTAAGGTTGCTAAATCATCCACCTCCTGATTAGCAGTTCGAGACCTAGTCAAATTCTCTAATTTAGAACGAATATCTTCAATTCTGTAAGAAAACAAATATGGATAGATGTATTTGAGAGCATGAACAAAAGATTTTGAATATTATTTTGACTTAGCTGCTTAGGAGTGCAAAAGTAAAGGAATACTCTGATAAACATAGATTTAGCTCTCCACATTCTTTACAAAGGTATTACTTTCATATGGACATAGAATTATGTTTAGCTTTTTTTTTTTTAACATTTCAGGAGCAAGTGGTCCCATTTCAAGGAGCTGAATTAAGAGTTCAATCCCCACTTACTTTGGTTAATCAAATTTTATGTAGCTATAGCAGTTATATTTTACTTACTCTTATGGGCAGAATGTAGTGAGATGACCAATTATTATTTTTACTATAATTGATTGTTATAGAAAGTCTCCTATGACTCTTCTTATAGTTTACAGAGACACTGATATGGGTTGAGGTTACAAGGATTTAATATTTTTTTCTTAGAGTGAGGTTAGGATTATGCCACACTAAGCTGCTAGCCAAACAGGGCATTTTTTTTCTGCAACAATACCTCCCCCCCCCGAAGTTGCAGACAGTGATCATTATGGTCCACTGAACATATGTTATTATTCACAATTGTACATCATGTTCCCATACAAGAGTTCAGACATTTCTTAAAGCAGAACATAGATCTAAATCACTGCTGATCACGCATGACTAGCTAGTTTAGCTACACAACATCTTGTGTATTCACCTAGGATTTTCTTCCTTCAGAAATCTTATAACAATGTGCAAAAACCTATTGCCTTATTCTCAACAATGAATGAACAGATAATGTTGCTGACATTTGAAAACCAATATTAGTAGCATATTTATCTAGCCAGATAAAATTCTACACTGTTTTCTTCCAATCCTCCAGCATAACCAGTTAGGCGAGATTGGTTAAAACAAACTAATCTGATTCTCAAGGTATAACCTGACTAATTCTGTTTATAATAAAATATAATTCATCTAGAATATTCTAAGCATTTGCTCTCTGTTTGATGACTTATTTTCATACATGGCACTTAATTTTTTAGTACTGGGAGTTAAGACAATCAGGAATTTCAGGATCTGTAAGCTAGTCTGGGAAGCTAAACAATACCAAAAATCTTGTAAGAAGGCAAAGACATCTCAGCTCCACATTGTTTATACATTGATCTGCATCCTGCCTTTACTTGAGGAGCTCAAGGCAGCACAGATAATGTTCCTCCTGTTTTCCCCTACAAGAGCACTTTTATGAACTAGGTTGGGTCAAGAGACAGTGAGTGGTACAAAGTTGCCCAGAGAACTTCTGTGTCTAAGAATACACCAAAACCTTGGTCTCCCCCAGAGGTGGTATTCAGCAGGTTCTGACCAATTCTGGAGAACCGGTAGTGGAAATTTTGAGTAGTTCAGAGAACTGGTAAATACCACCTCTGACTGGCCCCACCCCCATCTATTCTCTGCCTTCTGAGTCCCAGCCGATCAGGAGAAAATGGAGATTTTACAGTATCCTTCCCCAGCCACACCCACAAGCCATGCCATGCCATGTGTCCACCAAGCCACACCCACAGAACCGGTAGTAAAATTTTTTGAATCTCACCACTGGTCTCCCCATTCCTAATCAGACACCTTTACCACTAATTTTGCTTAGTGCTTAGGGTTTTGAGATTAAGCAAGATTGCCTAGATCAGGAGTGTCAAACTCAATTTCATTGAGTGTCGCATCAGGGCTGTGGTTGACCTCAGGGTGCCAGGTGGGAGTGGCCAACTGGGTGAGTGTGGCCATCTGGATGCCATTCCCCAAACTGCTGGCATGTTTCCTCTTTGCATTGCGTCGACAGGGCCAATGCCACACTGGCCCAATTTCTCCTCTTTGCACTGGGTAGAACTGCAGGCCGGATCTGACCATATCACAGGCTGGATCTGGCCTGCGGGCCTTGAGTTTCAAACCTCTGGCCTAGATGTTGTCAACGAGTTGGCATTAAACATAATCCTTGAATATTAAAATATCTTTTGGGAACCTCCACCAATGTTAATGCAAGGTGGCATCCTCCTAACAGCTCTGTGTCTTGTGCATGGCTTGAAGAGGAACGTTTGTGTTAAACTGCAGGCATTTTGAGGAGCGCAAGCATTATTTGGCATTTAAAAAGATATGAAATGTTGAAGCAACTGGCTTGCCCAAGCAGTATGCGGATTCTGCCGACAGGGTGACATTGACCAAGTCAAGCATATGCGACACAAATGACAGCTGCAGGAGCTGGCAGATAATCTGTTCCCTTTCTGTTATTTTCCTTCAACCAAGGGAAGGACATAGACCTTGAATCAGCCTGTCATTTCCCATGTCTGCTGTTAACCACTGCATATAGCACCTTATTTTCACCACACAGTCGAACATGCAGCAATGTGTTGCCAGGGTGATATCACATTCAGCCTACAGGATTGAGCAGCTGCTGAATTAAGGGAAAGTGAGAAATCCAAGGAACAAGAGGATTACTCCTATTTTTTCTGCTATGTATATTATCTGGATTTTTTTTTTAGAACATCAGAGTTTTCTCTTCAAATATATTTATTTAATTTATAAATAATTCATTTACAAAAATGTGTGTACTGCCTGCTCATTGAATTTTAGGTAGCTTAAAGAAACCTAACCTAATTTTAGGCTAAATTTAGGTATTTCAGCTGTTTTTATTGTTCTTGGGGCAGTCCAAGGGGAAGGAAACAACAAAAGTCTACACATCTGCACCATCAAAGCCTTGCCTTTTATATATATATATCCCCTGGCTCAAGCTGATGAAGAGAGGAGAACTTGTGACTCATAGGTTAATACAACTGCCTAACATGCAGGCAGCCCAAGTTCAAATCCAAGTAAGGGTATGGCTAGCTGATGACAGCTAAATAGCTTGGAATAGATCTATACTAGTCTCCCTTTATTTCTTTATCAGAGAAATATAAATTAGCTTTTTGGGACCCCCCACCCAAGATTCCTTGCGAGAGAAAGACTTGCTCTAAGGGAAGGAGGTTAGTGAATTTCTCAAGCCATGCCAGTAAATTTCTCAAAACCCAAAAATTTCTCATTAGACATTACCACCATATTCATAGGCCTAATCAACCAAATATTTGACAGTTTCTATTTCAATCTGCTCAATTACTATTGTCAGTTTTAGGAAAAGTCTTTGTTCCAGTATTTCCAAAGCGTGACAGTCAACTACTTTGAGACTGAACTGACAGCAGGAGCCAAACTATTTATTGTTCCAGCTCGTTTTCTATTCATTCCCAGCCACCTACCTCCTCCTATTTTACTCAAAGCAGAAGGAGGTCACTTTCAGCCCAAGTGTCAAAATGCACAAAAGGGATTTTTGATGGCTCCCAAAATAGCATGGAAAAAGCCCAGTCCTTGGTAAATGTGTGTCCTGTGTACAGAAATTAGAATATTTTTTTTAAAATTTGATTTATATGCCGCCCTTCTCCGGAGACTCAGGGCGGCTTACAATGCATTAAGCAATAGCCTTCATCCTTTTGTATATTTATACAAAGTCAGCTTATTGCCCCCACAAACTGGGTCCTCATTTAATCTACCTTAGAAAGGATGGAAGGCTGAGTCAACCTTGAGCCTGGTAAGATTCGAACCTGCAGAAATTGCAGGCAGCTGTGTTAATAACAGGGTGCATTAAACCATTGTACTACCAAGGCTACTTATTTATCTGATAGGAAAAAAAATCCTAAACCAACTGAACAATCGCTATTTATATTATAAAATAATTTATATGCAAGAGTAGAAAAATAAATCTTGGAGGTTATGATGGAGGTGTTATAAAATTGGGTCGTAACCCAGAGAAACCAAGAGGAACTGAAAGATGTTAAGTAGGTCAATCACCTCCAATTTGACACTTGATTGCAACTTGATTCAAGGATTTCCCACTAACATGTAATGTGTTATAGTCCTAACAGACTATAGAGCAGGCCACGTTGAGGATAACTGAGGCAAAATAATAATAATAATAATGGATCCAATTTTTGGTCAAGGACTCCTATTGTGGTTCTTGGTGGGAAGTAGGAATTCATTCTGTTGCCCTCATTTTGGGACAAAATGCTCCATATTTTCCCCATTGCTTGTTATGACATTCTGACTGAACTAAAGTACGGACACCTATTTCAATCCCCTTCCTGAAGATATGTATTTATAAATACAGTCCCGACTGTTCTAAATTAGCAAACCTAAATCTGCTCCAACTTTCCTGACTGTTATGTATTGATACTTTTAAGCAGGAGTTTCAAACCCGCCTATGTTTCTGATTGGCTGACAGTCCCTCCAGGATTGTATATAAGGAGGGCTGCAGCCTCTGAGTTTTTGCTGACGTCTCACTGTAAATTAAAGAGCTGTTGTCACTTGCTTGGTTGTGCCTCTCGTTATTCCCAAACCACTTCATTGGCGACGAAGGTGGGATAGAGGTCACAAGAAGCGAACCAATGAGACCACGAGCTTCAGCTAGGCGACGAGGCGAACTACAGGAGGCATACCGAACATGTCTGCCTACGTTCCGCCCAAGCCTTTTGATCCGACCCGCGAAAAATGGGTCTCGTACCTGACGAGGTTCGAATGCTCGCTCGAAGCCAGCGACATGCAAGGGCTCTCCGCTAATCGGAAGAGGGCCCTCTTCCTAAGCCACTGTGGACCGGACGTGTTCGAGATGGCAGAGTCACTGTGCGAGCCAACGCCGGTCCAGACCGTTTCCTGGGACACCCTGATGGCCACGCTCCGGGCTCACTATGCTCCCGTGCCCTCCAAGTTCGTGCAACGATACCAACTCAGACAGCGCGTTCAGTGAGAGGGAGAACCGGTCAGCGCATACATGGCCAGCCTGAGAAAAGCCGCAACCCATTGCGACTATAGAGACTTGGACGATGCGTTGCTTGAGTAACTCATCTGTGGTGTCCGGGACATTAGGCTGCAACAGCGCCTGCTCGCCAAGCCTGATTTGACGCTTGCTGGAGCCCTAGACGAGGCCAGGGCTCATGAAGCCTCCACAAAAGCCG